ACTGTCTTTGTCCTTTTCTCCAATCAGATCCTCGTGGACCTGGGCTCCAAGAACTCCAAGGGCCTATACAGGGCACGCGTCCAAGCCACCGTTGGACACAGATCCACCTCCTTCACCGGTCTCGTTGGCCTGGCCAGCGACTCTCTGTACCGCAGCATGCCTGGCCTCATTGCCCTCGCCCTGGAGAGCCTGAAGAGCTAACCTGGCTGCTCCTGGCAGCGGTTGGACTAACAGGACGCCCTGCGAAACCAGAGGACGAAGGCACAGAGATGCCGCACACCCCTCAGTGAGGCCCCTGTCCTCCAGGGCACGATGGCCTGGGAGTAAGGAAGTGTGGCGCAGGTCTGCTGCGTCTGCCCGTGCAGGGATGAGGGGCCTTTCCTAATCCGAGGGCCACATTGCCTTGTTGGGAACCTTCTGGGAGCCACATGCCAGCGGAAGGCAAGGACGGGCAGAAGGGAGCAGAGCAACAGACTCTCTACCTTTGTGCATCTGGCTGCATTCCAGCCAGACAAAAACCAGAAATTTACACACACACACACACACACACACACACACACACACACACACTCCATCCTTCCTCCAGGCAAACAAGAACCATTGTCAGTGATAAAAGACACATCCCAGCCAGGTCAAAACATTCAAAGAGGGGCAGGGCTGGGGAGGACTGGGTTGGGGAGGAGGCATGGCTTAGGGGGGGGGCTGAAGGCAAGGGAGATGAGCCTGGGGGGCAGCATTCAGCCTCTCCAGGCCTTGGGTTCTTCATTGTACTAGTGTAAGGGCAGCTCAGAGCACAAGCTAGTCTCTCCGCACCAAACCACATTCTGTTTTTCTTTTTCCATATGCTTAAACTGGGCACTTTTATTTTGATGAAAAAGCAGGCATGGGGCCCCAATCCAGAACATGCTCCTGGCCCAGATCAGGCCCTCTCACACCCAATGCCCTGCTGAAAAATCTGCCCCCTTCCAGGCTTCTGTTTACCCCGCAAGGCGCTGCTTGCAGGAAACAAATCCAGAGCGGACAAAATATCAGGTGATGATGATGGCAACTTTCAGGACCTGAAACCAGTTGAGGATCAAGCCTCATTTTGGGGATGGGGGATGGGGGGCAGTGTCATCTAATTGCGACTTTCTCTTCCAAATAAAAGCGGCAGGAGTAGAATGTGGAGGGACCCCCCTTGTCTAAGAAAGTGTCTCTGGGGCTGAGGGTGGCCGAGTAAAAGCCTTGCATTATGGGAAATATATTTATTTGTACAAAGGCTTGTTTTTGTAAACAAATAAAATTATATTTTGTGGTATATCTTGTGGTGTGTGTTTTTTTAACCTTGCAAAGTAACCGAAGCTTATCAACTGGAAATATTTCTCCCTCTCCTAAAAGAAAAGAGGAGGATAAGCATCCATATTCTCACCAACCTGGTGAAGGCCAGACGCTTTGGACTGCAACTCCCATCAGCCCCTGCCAGCAAAGCCATCAGACTTCGGGTCCAGTGAGCTCTGTACTGTTTCCACTGGCTGGCAGCAGCTCTCTCTGGAGTTTCATTAATTGCAGAGTTCTAAGATTGAGTTAACTCATCATTAGCAAAAACAATATCCACAGGCTTGGTTGAGTGTCAGACCTAATGAATGCAGCAGCTCATTCCTGGTGGATTTCCTCCATGAAAATCAGTTGCAGAGTCTGAAAGTCCCTTCCTCCTCACAGCCATCTAAGTCTCCTCGTCTCCAGGCCTTTCTACTAGCAATCTGGGACTGTGCCTGCATGCAGCCAACCTCTCCACCCTTTTCATGCCTCTTCTGGGTCTGGGAGACGGGTGGGCAGGGGAGCTTGTAGTAGGAGGGGGAGACACACGTGACACTTCATCAGTCAGATTCATCTCTGCTTCCTGCTTCTGAGTCTGGCTTCTCTCTGCCACAGACTCTCCCAGCTCACTAAGCCCTGTTACCCTTCAGCTTCCGACAGCCTCTCCCCATCTTCTCCCTATGACCACTCATTGTCCCACCACCACTCCCTGGGCCGGCTCTGAGCCACCTTCCCTTGGGGGTTCCACAACTAGTTCCTCCCACCATTCATCTGTGTCCAACCATTCATGACTCCAGCCATAGGAACATCGAAACCTGTCTTATAGTGAGTCAGACAATTGGTGCATCTAGCTCAGTACAGTCTATACTGACCAGCAGCAGCTCTCCAGGATGCCAGGCAGGGATATCTCCCAACCCAAGACTTACCTGGAGATGTCGGGGATTGAAACTGGGACCACCTGCTTGCAATGCAGACACGCCACCCCCTAGCTGTGGTCATTCCCACACAACGTCGCCACCTTAGCTCTGATCTCTGCTGCCCTGGGCCCCTTCCTCTGCTGACACGTGTTTGATGTGAAACTCAAGAGCAGTCAAGTACAACATTCCTAGAGTGAACATGTTTACACATGGGGAGGAATGTTTGTCCAGCCAGCAGGTAAAATTCCTGTTTCCTTCTGGGCTGGGACAGACTTCCTCTGCATGTGACTAGAGGTGGGCGTGGCCTCACCTGTGCAGGTAACGACAAAAGCACAGAGCAGGACAGCCATCTCTCTGTGACTACTTTCGTCGAAGAAGCAACATCTGCTTAACCAAAGATGCTCTCTTGGCCTCCAGCCAAGAGAGGACAAAGTGACTGTCTCCGTATGAGATAGTTTCCAGGTGTATGTTACTTTTCTAAGATAAGTCTGCCTTCTGGGATCTGATTGTGAGCAGAATGTGAGTGAGTAAACTCTTTTTATACTTTTATAGAAGACTGTGTCATGACTTATCTTTTATGAGGGAATAAGGGGAAAATACCAGAACAGTTATTATAGAGGCTTTAGCGAACCTGAGCAAACGCAGCCCCTGGAAAGTTGCCTGTTGAGAAACACAACTCCTGACCTAATGGGGAGGGGATGCAGAGCCTGACTCCCCAGCTGTCCAGGCGTTGCCTTCTTTTTCTGGCTCGGCTCAAAGGCATCAGCTGTGCGATCGCATAACTCAGTGCCCAGAGATCTTGTTTCCACTGGGACAGGAAGCGGCTGTCAGGGGAGCTTTGATGGATGAAGTGGACTGGGCAGTGCCCTGGGGAGTGGGGGGCTTGCTTGGCGCGGCAGTCAAGCTCATGCACTTGGAGCCTGCAAAGATGGCAGCGGTGACCCTGCTCCCACCGCAAAGAGCTTCCTTTCAAAGGCAGACGGGCTCTCGCATGCTTAATCCCACATCGGCAGAGCAGCCTAGTTAGCGGACTGTCAGGACTTGGGGCTGCTTTGCAGGAGAGCTACTGGATTTAAGTGGAATTGTCGCACAGAGAGACACATCCAAGCTTCAGGATCTTGGCCGCCCTGAGAGATTTCAGGGTGCGTAAAAATAGGAATGGGAAGAAATTGATCCAGTTCACCTTTAAAGGCGACTTCAGCTCGTTCTCCAAAATACCTGGATCAAAAGGCAGCCATTCTTTGACATTCCCACTTCTCCGAATTGTGATGCAATTCTCTCTTTTTAAAAAAATAATATTTATTACTTTTCCAACAATTTAAACACTACAAAAAAACACACAATACAATACAATACAATACAATACAAAGACACTACATAACACTAACACATTAAACTAACAAAACAAAAACAGTTTAAAAAACACATCAAACAATTTCAGTATCTTATCTTTCATTCACTTATTTCCACGACCTCCTCACACCTCCCTTTTTGTATTCCACTTCTGTTAATTGTTTCAGCAATTCCTTTCCATCTTCCTCTGTTTTCTATCCTATAATTATCTTAACACATTCTAACCTTATTTTTTCCTTTAATATTCTATTAATCTATTTATACTTAATTCCTTATAACATTTCTACTAAAGCCATATAACTTCATTCCAACATTCTTCTAACATTCATTAATTTTACAGTATTTCTGTGAATAGTCTTTAAACTTTTTCCAGTCTTCTTCCACCGACTCTTCTCCCTGGTCCCGGATTCTGCCAGTCATTTCCGCCAGTTCCATATAGTCCATCAACTTCATCTGCCATTCTTCCCAGGTGGGTAAATCTTGTGTCTTCCAATACTTCGCAATGAGTATTCTTGCTGCTGTTGTTGCATACATAAAAAAGGTTCTATCCTTCTTTAACACCAATTGGCCGACCATGCCCAGGAGAAAGGCCTCTGGTTTCTTCAGGAAGGTATATTTAAATACCTTTTTCATTTCGTTATAAATCATCTCCAAGAATGTCTTAATCCTTGGGCATGTCCACCAAAGGTGAAAAAATGTACCTTCAGTCTCATTACATTTCCAACATTTATTGTCGGGCAAATGGTAAATTTTTTCAAGCTTGACTGGTGTCATGTACCACCTATAAATCATTTTCATTAAATTTTCTCTTAGGGCATTACATGCCGTGAATTTCATACCTGTGGTCCATAACCGTTCCCAGTCAGCCATCATTATGTTATGTCCAACATCTTGTGCCCATTTAATCATAGCTGATTTCACCATTTCATCCTGAGTGTTCCATTTCAACAGCAAGTTATACATTCTTGACAAATTCTTGATTTTTGGATCTAACAATTCCGTTTCCAATTTTGATTTTCCCACCTGGAAACCAACTTTTTTGTCCAAATTGTATGCCTCCATTATTTGGTAATAATGGAGCCAATCTCGCACTTTATTTTTCAGTTTTTCAAAGCTCTGCAATTTTATTCTGTCTCCATCTTGTTCCAGAATTTCCCAATATTTCGGCCATTTGGCCTCCATATTGAGTTTTTTCTGTGCCTTCGCTTCCATTGGTGACAAACATCTTGGGGTTTTCTTTTCTAACAAATCTTTATATCTTATCCAAACATTAAACAATGCTTTTCTAACAATATGATTTTTAAACGCTTTATGTGCTTTTACCTTATCATACCACAAATATGCGTGCCAGCCAAATGCATTATTGAAGCCTTCTAGATCCAACACATCAGTGTTTTCAAGAAGCAGCCATTCTCTCAGCCAGCAAAAAGCAGCTGATTCATAATAAAGTTTAAGGTCTGGCAGGGCAAATCCACCTCTTTCTTTGGCATCAGTTAATATCTTAAATTTTATTCAAGGCTTCTTGCCCTGCCAAACAAATCTGGAAATATCTTCCTGCCACTTCTTGAAACAATCCATCTTATCCAAGATTTGCAATGTTTGAAACAAAAATAACATCCTTGGCAACACATTCATTTTTATCGCAGCAATTCGGCCTAACAAAGATAACTTCAAATTTGTCCATACTTCTAAATCCTTTTTCACTTCAATCCAACATTTTTCATATTTATCCTTAAATAAATTCACATTTTTGGCAGTCATGTTAACCCCTAAATATTTCACTTTCTTAACCAATGTTAGTCCTGTCTCCTCCTGAAACTTCTCTTTCTCATTCTCAGTTAAGTTTTTCTCTAAAACCTTAGTTTTCATCTTATTCAACTTAAAACCTGCTACCTGTCCAAATTCTTGAATCAGTTCCAATACCCTTTTAGTACTAGATTCTGGCTCCTGTAAAGTCAATACTAAGTCATCAGCAAATGCTTTCAATTTGTACTGTTTAGCTCCCACTTGTATACCTTTAACCTCTTGGTCCTTTCTAATCATATTTAACAAAACCTCAAGGACTGATATAAAGAGCAATGGAGAAATTGGGCAACCTTGTCGTGTCCCTTTCTCAATCTTAAACTCTCAAATTGTGATGCAATTCTCGAGCCAAACAATGTGTAGAAGAACACGGATGCTGCTTCTGAATGCCAGTTACTGAGTATCACAAGTGGCGAGAGTGTTGTTGAACTTGGGACCTACCTAGCAGGTTCCACAGAGGCGCATCTGTTTGGCCCCCCTGAGAGCAGATGTTGACCTAGAGGGGGCCTTTGGCTCAATCCAGCTATGGCTCTGCTCTTGCTTGTAAGGATGAGCAAATCTGACCATTTTGGTTGCTCTCAGTTTCTACTTTTGCTTCATTTCAATTCTCCAGTTTTTTGCTGAAATTGGTATTCTTTTAATTTTTTAAAAAAACATGATGGAAATTCCTCATTTTAGTGTAAATTTATCCTAATAAACATTTTTGTATGCAATTGTGATTGATTACACTTTTTGCAAAGCAGTTTCCCTTAATGTAAGGCTATGTACCTTTTAATGCACTTGTTGTTGTTGTTGTTGTTTAGTCGTTCAGTCGTGTCCGCCTCTTTGTGACCCCATGGACCAGAGCACGCCAGGCACTTCTGTCTTCCACTGCCTCCCGCAGTTTGGTCAAACTCATGCTGGTAGCTTCAAGAACACTGTCCAACCATCTCGTCCTCTGTCCTCCCCTTCTCCTTGTGCCCTCCATCTTTCCCAACATCAGGGTCTTTTCCAGGGAGTCTTCTCTTCTCATGAGGTGGCCAAAGTATTGGAGCCTCAGCTTCACGATCTGTCCTTCCAGTGAATACTCAGGGCTGATTTCCTTAAGAATGGATAGGTTTCATCTTCTTGCAGTCCATGGGACTCTCAAGAGTCTCCCCCAGCACCATAATTCAAAAGCATCAATCCTTCGATGATCAGCCTTCTTTATGGTCCAGCTCTCACTTCCATACATCACTACTGGGAAAACCATAGCTTGAACTATACGGACCTTTGTTGGCAAGGTGATGTCTCTGCATTTTAAGATGCTGTCTAGGTTTGTCATTGCTTTTCTCCCAAGAAGCAGGTGTTTTAATGCACACTTTTCCCTAAAATTGTTCGGTTGAAGAACTGCATCGCAAATTTCAGAGCGAGTGCAAATTTCAAACAATAGCAGTGTTTCTGGTGACATTGGTTTGAGGAGTGCAAAACAGGCAGTTTCTCGTTAAAATATGGAAGAAAAATACCTGCCGTCCCCATTGGGGGCAGAGCCACTGTGAACTTTTTGTTTAAGTTTTGAACTTGCATGCAAATAAGGAATGAAGTTTAATAATCAGCCTCAGCATCATTTGTAGGCACCCGTTTAAGAACATAAGAAGGGCCTGCTGGATTAGACCAAACGGGGTCCACCTAGTCCAGCATCCTGTTCTCACAGTGGCCAAACAGATGCCTGTGACAAACCTGCAAATTGAATCCAAACACAAGACCATCACATACGATAAAAAGAACCTTCTTTCTTTTTACATTTCCAACACTTGTTTGATTTAGATTTATACATTTTTGCCAGCTTACTCGGTGTTAGAGACCAATGATATATCATTTTCTTTTCTTTCTTTTTTTATAATTTCTAAAAGAATTTTATTAGTATTTTCCACACAACAACAACAACACGAAAGATATCAAAAGATAACAATACACAACACACAAAAAACAACATTCAAAAACTAAAAAAGACAAAACAAAACAAAAAAACAAACAAATCCATATCTTACAAGTTAATATTATAAACACTAAAACTACAACAACAAGACATTGATACAGTGGTGCCCCGCAAGACGAATGCCTCGCAAGACAAAAAACTCGCTAGACGAAAGGGTTTTCCATTTTTTGAGTCGTTCCGCAAGACGAATTTCCCTATGGGCTTGCTTCGCAAGACGAAACGTCTTGCGAGTTTGTTTCCTTTTTCTTAAAGCCGCTAAGCCGTTAATAGCCGCTAAGCCTCTAATAGCCGTGCTTCGCAAGACGAAAAAACCGCAAGACGAAGAGACTCACGGAACGGATTAATTTCGTCTTGCGAGGCACCACTGTATATCATTTTGATATAATTTTCTCTTAAAGCATAACATGCGGTACATTTTATATCCATACTCCACAATTGTTCTTATGGAAACTGCTCCATTTCTGCCCCCAAAACTGGTCCTGCACCTCCATTCCACCTGACACCCCATAGTTTGGCTACAGCACAAAAAACTACACCTTGCATACTGAGGGGTCAGGCTGGGATCGGGGTGCTTTGCCCTTCCGCTGGAGCCCCCCATGTGGGGCAGCTCAAGCCCGGCCAACTCTTTGTCCCTTGTTTACCGAGAGCAAAACATCCCTCTTGGCTCAGAGCAGGGAAGGAAGGGATAGATTTGCTGCCTCTTGTTCCTCAGTCTGGCAGCTATTTTCTAACTCCCCCCCCCCCACTGCCGCCTGCCCCTGCCAGCCTTGCAGCTGCCGCCATCCGTCCGCATTCCCAAGTCACGGTCCCAGCTCAGACTTCCGTCCCCTTCGGGGGGGAAACGGCTGAGGCATTTGGAGGGGGAGTTGGGCACAGAGACGGCACAGGCGACCCGGGTGCCAACATGGACAGGCGGACACTCGCTCTGCTCTGGGTTTTCATCCTCCCAGGTAAGGATGCAGCTGCCTGCCAGAGCCTGCAGACTTGGGCCTAGTGGGAGAAGCCGCAGGAGGTGCTCCCAGCAAGAAGGTGGCTTCCAAAGCTGGGAGACTTGGAGGTGGATATGTGGAATGGTTCACTTCTAGTGAGGAGTCCTGGGCTATTGGCATCAAGAGGAGGGAGAAGGAAGGACATTTCTGCCCCTTCATGCTATCTATCATCTATCTATCTATCTATCTATCTATCTATCATCTATCATCTATCATCTATCATCTATCTATCTATCTATCTATCTATCTATCTATCTATCTATCTATCTATCATCTATCATCTATATTTCAAGTTTATACATTTCACTAGTTTTACATTCATTTTGACATTTCAGAACTTCACTTCCTTCCCCCTCTTTCTGCAGTTTCTTAAATTTGTTTTTAACATCTTCTGCATATCTAAATGAACTTAATTTGCTCATTTATTCATCTTCTTTAAATATATACTCATGAAACTGCAGGTTATTACAATAACCCTGCCAATGTTTTTATCTGTTTATAATTTATCTGTAAATATTCAATAAACCATTTGCATTCTTTTGTTTAAAAAATTGTTATCTTGATTTCTTATTCTTTCAGTAACTTTCGCCATTTCTGCACATTCCATGAGTTTTTGTATCCATTCTTCCTTTACGGGGATTTTTGCTTCTTTCCATTTTTGGGCAAGTAACATTCTTGCTGCTGTGGTAGCATACATGAATAAGTTTCTATACATTTTAGGTAGTTCTCTCCCTATAATTCCCAAAAGAAAATCTTCTGGGGTTCCCCCCCAAAAGGCTATTTTAAACATCCTTTTCATTTCATTAGATATCCCCCTTCATGTTAAACCAGAATAAGCTTCCAGCATTTATCGAAGCTGATAGATGAGGCAAAACACATAGGCACAATTCTTCTCATTTTCTATGTGGGAATTTTCACATTTTATTCCCCAAAATTCTTGTGGATACTTATCTTTCATGCCTTCTTAGAGAAAGGCATATTCTTGAACCTGGAAACTTCTTACCAGATGGTGGAGACGGGGAATGGCTTTGGGCACTCTGCGTTTGCTCAGGGGAACTCTTTTCTTCTCATATTTCATGCTCCAGCGTGGGAGTTCCGGCACAGAGAGCATTCAAAGAAAAGGGGGATTGTTGTATTGCATCTGCCTTGACTCAAAAGAGGGGCAGAAACCAGAAAGATATTGCATCCAGGTTCAGCTGAAGGGTTAAACTGAGAGCCGATGTGATGTAATGGTTGGTGTGTCAGACCAGGACCCAGGAGACAAGGGTTCGAATCCCCACTCGGCCAGAAAGCTCTGTGCGGTCTGTGTGTGTTGTTTGGGAGCTGCACAGTCAGGGAAAAAGCAATGCTGTCCAGGGTTGTAAAGACTGTGGAGAGAATAATTGGGTGCACTCTTCCCACCTTGGATCAAATCTATGCTTCCAGGTGCCATAAGAAAGCTGCAGAGATAGTGCAGGATAGTGCGCACCCCGAAAATGATCTCTTTCAGTTTCTGTCTTCTGGAAGAAGGTACAGGGTTATAAAGGTACAGGACTAGCCGCCTGAGAAAGAGTTTCTATCCAAATGCGATTTTGATTTTAAACGCAGTGTAAGGAGTCTCTATGGGTGTATATTGTATTTAAAAATGGGGTATCAGAGTTTTTAGGGGGACTGACCAGGCTGGGATAGCTGGGATAGCAGGCTTGTTGGTTTCTGTATGTCTTATGTAGATTTTTTTTCAATTTCGTTGTTCTGTATGGGACAATGACAATAAAGATTATCGTATTGTATCGTATTGTAGCTCACAGGGTGACACTGTCTCTCAGCCTATCCTACCTCAAAGGGCTGTTGTGAGGAACTCTTCCTACTGATGTCAGCCAGGCACTGTCACTGCACTCTTTTTGGCACCTGCCAAAAACATTTTCACTTAGACAAGCCAACCCAGGTGGCATGCTCTGGTCCATGGGGTCATGAAGAGTCGGACACGACTAAACAACTAAACAACAACACCCAGGTGTTCCGAAAGCTGGTTCTAATCTGTTTCTAGCCTACTGTTATTTTAGCAAGTAGATAAATAGGTACCGCTCCAGCGGGAAGGTAAATGGCGTTTTCCGTGCGCTACTCTGGTTTCACCAGAAGTGGCTTAGTCATGCTGGCCACATGACCCGGAGCTGTACGCTGGCTCCCTCAGCCTATAGAGCGAGATGAGCGCCGCAACCCCAGAGTCAGCCACGACTGGACCTAATGGTCAGGGGTCTCTTTACCTACCCTTTTAAATCCATTTGGGGGGAGGTATTGCCTTAGTTTTTTTATTATGCATGTTTGTGTGTTTTTGTTGTATTTGTGTGTGTGTGTGTGTGTGTGTGTGTGAACCACCCTGAGTTCTACAGATGAAGGGCGGTATACACATTTTAATAAATAAAAAAATAAAAATAAATGTCTGAGCTTGCAGGAAGGCTGATGAGCTGGAGCAAAGCTCTGCCACTTCTCTGGCCAGCTCCTGGGATGAACCACTGCAAAATAGGGGTCCATCTGAGCTCCCCCTGCTTCTTTTCTCTTCCCTCCAGCAACCCTGGGCGTGAACATGGAGGAGAAGCTCATCAAGTACCTCTTTAAAGAGAATGGCTACAACAGTAAACTGCGGCCCGTAGAATCCAAGGACGAAAGCGTCACCGTCTCCCTGGCGCTGACCCTCTCCAATCTCGTCTCCCTGGTGAGCCCACCTTCCGGGATCCGTCAGCAACTGCTCACCACTTGTTGTCTTACGTGAAGAGCGTAAGAGCCCCTCTGGATCAGCCCCCAAAAGGCCCATTTGGCCCAGCCTCCTGTTCCCCCACAGGGCCAACTGGATGCCTTTGGGAAGCCCATAGCCCCTCCCCACATCTTGCATTCGGAGGTTGAAGTGAAGGACATGAGGCAGGAGTTGGTAATGCAGGTGAGCTGTGCACAAGCAAGCTGCCAGCTAGCCCTGCGGAGGCTCTTTTTATTAGCACAATATGCAAAACCAGTCAGATACATTTTGGACTGTGCCCTTTACATCTTCCAATCACGCGGTCGTGGGGTGGTACAAAGTTATTTTGGCACCTGTTTCCACCACGTCACTTTCCGCTTGCACAATGAATAACGAAGGAGACAAAGGTCACAGACAGGGCACGGCAGAAAGCTAAGAGAGCAAAGGTTAGATAGAGGGCATGGTGTTCAGACAGCTGTGGCTTGTCTGCGGGTGGAAGTGTGCTCCACATCCGGTGGTCATTCCTTCAGGAGGTACACTGCTGCAGAACATGGACGCTCCATTTCACTGTTGTGGCTAGCAGCCGTTGGTAGACCTCACCTCCAGGATTTGGAAAGGACTAGCTGTCTTTAAAAGAGGGTTAGATGAATCCATAAAGGAGGAGAGGGCCATCGAGGACTGCTAGTCACAAATGGTCCGCCTCCACAGTCAGAGACAGCGATGCTTCTGAATACCAGTCGCTGGAAGCCACAGGAGGTCTGTGCTTGGATCCTGCATGTGGGTTCCCTCAGGCATCTGGCTGGCCAATGTGAGAACAGGATGCTGGACTGGAGAGACCATTGGCTTGATCCAGCAAGGTTCTTATTTTGTCCAAGCTCTGGTTTAAAACCATCTCAGGCAATGGCCATCACCGCAGGGCTACTGTATCTGTGTCCTGTGTTGCAGATCCTGTCCTGCTGGTTAGATCATATAATCCCCAAAGCCCGTCCCAATTTTACAATTGCAATCCCCATAAATTTATTGTGTGCATTCTGAAGAACCGTTGCCTTTCGTCTGGGGTAGATGGACCAACGGTTTGCTTTGGTGTGGTGCAATTTCCTGTGTTCCTGTTCCCCTCTCCTTCTCCTTCTAATTGGAGCAGCCTAATTTCAAAGCCTCAGCATCCTCTGTGACGAAAGCAATGGTACCCAGGGCCGTCTTTAGTGTATGTGGCCCCGGGGTGCAAAAACTGGCCAGCGCCCCCAATTTTTTTGGGGGGGGCAGGCCAAAGTTGTTGAGCCTTTTTTAGGGGGGCAGCTCAGAGTTGTTGAGCTTTTTTGGGGGGGCACGCAACACTCTCCCATGCCGCTGGGTTTGATCCTCCCTTATTGTGTGTTGTTGCAGAAAGAGGCCGACGAAACTCTCACCAGCAATGTCTGGATTGAGCACGTGAGTAGCAGAATGCCCCTGCCAGCTCCTCCAACCCAAATCAAAGCCTGGTCATTGAAGTTTGTGTGCGTGTGTTTTGGTTCTCAAACTTAATCCGTTCCGGAAGTCCATTCCAAAACCAATGCGTTCCAAAACCAAGGTGCGCTTTCCCATACAAAGTATGGGACACTGGCCGCTTGTGGCCCATGGGCCTTAGGTTGCGAACCCCTGACCAAGACGTTTGAGAACCAAGGTACTACTGTATATCTTCATTACTTCCAGCTGAGCTAATGTGCTAATTTGAACTCCTGATTCGTGGCGCATTAGGCTTCTGTTTTGAGGGTGTAACTTCATTGTTGATCTCATGCTGTTTGCTGCCGTGAATTTTCTCTATCTCTCTTAACGTTGGCATTATAGAATTTTTTTTGCAGGTAATTAAAATAAAGTAAATCCCCGCAGGAGTGGATGGACTACCGGCTGAAATGGAATGAGACAGAATTTGGCGGCATCAGCGTGCTCCGCCTGCGACCAGACATGCTGTGGCTGCCTCAGATTGTCCTGGAGAACAAGTGAGCACCAGCTAAGTCGCCCTTAGGGTTGCCAAATCAGTGGGACCACCATGCTCCTCTGCTTTCTGAGGCAGCTGGCTCTGCAGAACCTTTGCGGGCGATGTCTCCCTCCAGGCTGGTTCTTTCCTACATGGGCTGCAGGGCAAGGGTGCCATGTCCTGTGTTGGCACCAGAGGCAAAATGGGAAGTGCTGCCCGGCCCTACCGTTGCCGCACAATCTCCACGGTCAGAAGCAACGCCATTTTCCAGCGAGATCATGCCGAAATCTCACAATATCTTGAACGCCCCACGAGATCTTGCAAGATTTGTGGAATGCTCCCCCTAGGGAGGTTCGGCTTGTGCCATCGTTATATGCTTTTAGGTGGCAACCAGGCCTTTGATTAATAATAATAATAACAGCAATAATTTTGTTATTTGTACCCTGCCCATCTGACTGGGTTGCTCCAGCCACTCTGGGCTGCTTCCAACATCCAGTATATAAAAACATAATAAAACACGACACATTAAAAAGCTTCCCTATACAAGGCTGCCTTGCATAGCGATTAACATCTGATACCCTTTTAAATGTGTTTGTGAGAGCGGGTGGTCGGAATGGGTGGGATATTCGTTTGTCTTTGTTTTGATTATGCATTTGTATATTAGTATTTTTATGCTGCGGACCTCCCTGAGATCTACGGATGAAGGGGGCGGTATACAGATTTAAGAAGTAATAATAATCGTCCTGGAAATCGGCACCAAAGCAACTTCTCCATTGGTGGGGGGGGGGTTTACCCATGGGGGGGAACACCTCAGGGACTTCCACCAACTGAGATGGCAGCTTCACTTCGCCTCCTGGGTGGGCCAGGTCTGGTTTCAGAGGGAGGACAGAGGCCACGGTTCCACGTGGTGAGCAGAAACGCCTGCGTGGATGGGAGGATCGCCTTAGCTTGGCGCAGGATCCCGCCCAGTGTCTCTGCATCCTCCCTGCTTCCTGGAGGCCTGCCTTGCCGCAGCGGACAGCAAGCAGTTCCCCGGGAAGGAGGATGCCCTTCTCAGCCCTATGGCTCCCTCTCCCTTTGCAGCAACGACGGGACCTTTGAGGCCACCTACGACGCCAACATCCTCCTCTCCTCGAACGGTGGCGTCTACTGGCTGCCGCCCGCCATCTTCCGCAGCGCCTGCCCCATCAACGTCAACTACTTCCCCTTCGACTGGCAGAACTGCACCTTGAAGTTCACGTGAGGAACCTCCAGCCCCCTTGCCGGGCTTCTTCAGCGCGTGTGGTTGGGTGGTTGGGTCCCTAGGAACTGCCACATGGCTCATTCAGTAGAGTGCGAGACTCTTCGCCTCAGGGTCGTGGGTTCGGGCCCAGCGCTGGGAGCAAGATTCCTGCATGGCAGTTTTATGATTCTATTATTCTGATTCACACATTTTTTTGGCAAACCATTTCCCCTCGTATGATGCATTTTCAGATGGTAATAAACGTATTGCTATGCTCGCTTTACCCTGTCAAGTGCACACTCTCTCTGTTTTGGTACACATTGATCACAGAATTGGTTCCCTTTAATACAGGCACGTCCAACTCCCCAGAGACTGTGATCTACTCCCAGTATAAAAGAATCTGGCAGTGATCTACCCATTGTCATTGGAGGAAGGAGGAGCATGGGGGGGTGGATAGATTGCCCAGAGTTGTTGAGCTTTTTTATTTTTATTTTTTTAGGAGATCCTGCAATCTACCAGGATCAGCCAGGGATCTACCGGTAGATTGCGATCTACTGGTTGGACACCCCTGCTCTAATTCAACCCCTTGTATTGCAGGAGTCACAGCTATTGAGGTCTGGGGGGTCGCTGGGCCTGAGGTTCCCATGTGTGTGTGTGTGGGGGGGTGTTTTTAAAGGCTTCAAACAGACCGTCCGTCGGTTTTATGAAGTTTGCTTGGTGGGGCAGAGACGGTTCAAAGGCATCCGTGGAACCTTCTGCCACAGGATTCTCTGCTGACTGGCTTTCCGCCTGCCTTTCCCAGCTCTCTGATGTACAGTGCCAACGAGATCAACCTGGAACTAATGTCGAAGAAAGACGAAGAGACCAATAAGTCGTACGTGGTGCAGTGGATCACCATTGACCCAGAAGGATTCACCGGTAAGTGGGGGGGAGGGGGGAATGTCCTCCTATAGGGGGGTCATCAGCGGTGGGAGGAGGTCTCCCAACCCATGCCCTTTCAAAGTTGTAGGGCAGAAAACCATCGTCCTCAATGGCTGGGGGAAGATTCTCCACCCCAAGGGCTGCATTCCGATCTGGGCAACATGCCAAGGGCCACGTGTGGGCGGTGGGCGGGGCTAGAGGCAAAGTGGGCGGAGCAATGAGTGCAATTTTCACTTTTACAGCAGCAGTGCCGGATTTATGTATAAGCTATAGCTTAGGGCCCCGTACTCTTGGGGGGTCCCCAAAAAATTAAAGGGAAAAAAAGGTGGATGTACATTTCCACAAGATACAAAACAAATAAAATAAAACCTACATACAGCAACAGTGTTTTGTGTTGTGTGGGCTCCTATGATGTAAGTAATGGGCCCCGCCTGCTAGCCTGCTCCCTAAAATATCACTGGTTTGCTCATTTCTATATATAGGGTGCCTACATTCTGCATGAACTGGTGGCATGGCAACATGTAGCATGCAGCTGCAGACTGCAGGGCAGCACACTTGAGCGTAGCTCAAGCTGTTGTGCCTGTTATCTAATATTAAAGAGTGCTTGTAGATTGATGATCAGGCAGCATAGACTAAGGGTATGAATCTTATGCCTACTGACTGATTTCATGTAATACATAATTTATTTATTTTGATCCCATTATGGCTTTAGGTACCTATTAGGTCCATAAATTACCATATAGCATACAGCGGATGTTTGGGTTGCGAACGTGATCCATGCAGGAGGCACGTTCGCAATCCGCAGCACCGCGTCTGTGCATGCGCGGGTTGCCATTCAGCACTTCTGCGCATGTGCAAGCGCCAAAACCCAGAAGTAACCTGTTCTGGTGCTTCTGGGTTCAGCGCGGTGTGCAACCCAAAATCGCGCAACCTGAAGCGTCTGTAACCCAAGGTATGACTGTATATTCAACACAAAAAAGCGACAATTTGTTGTTGACAAAGGACAGCTGGACATATAAAGGACTCATCCAACCTAAATCCGGCCCTGTACAGTAGGCTAGTTTCAACACACCAACATACCTTTCTCTCCTCCAGGCAGGCATTGTCAGGGTTCAAGGACACATCTCATTCAGGGAGAAGCACCCAAGGTGGGCATGAAGGCGGGCCAGGAGAGGGAATGGCAAGGGAGAAGGGTGCGGCATGGGTAAAGTTTCAGGGGCCAGAAAGAGTGGCTTGGAGGGCCTGAGGTTAGACCTTTCGGTTAGAGAATCCTGGGACCTGTAGTTTACCCTCTCACAGAGAATAATAATAATAATAATAATAATAATTTATTTATACCCTGCCCTTCCTGGGTCAAAAACCGGACTCAGGGCGGCTAACAACCAATTTAAAACACTTAATTGTAAAAGCAGCATAACATACAGTATAAAAACATTAATAATAATAAAATTCAAAGTTCAGAAATCAATTTAGGGGAAATCCATCTAATAAACACTAGATAGTCACCAGGGCTAGATGGCTGAATTAGTCCTACTTGGGCCAGCGAGGAGACCAGGGGACTCTGTGGGGTCCCAGAGCAGGTAATCTTCATAAAAAGGGACGGGGAGGGAAGGAAGGGGAATAAAAGATCAGGCTGAATTCAAATTAATGGCCAGGCGGAATAGCTCTGTCTTACAGGCACGGCGAAAGGAGGTTTAATCCTGCAGGGCCCTATTCTCATGGGACAGAGCATTCCACCAGGTCGGAGCCATTACTGAAAAGGCCCTGGTGGAGGATAGTCTGGCTTCCTTAGGGCCTGGGACCTCTAATTTATGGTTATTCATGGACCTTAAGGTGTGGCAGCACCCTTAATGAAACTACATCTCCCAGCATTCTCTGGGAGAATGCCAAATGTCCACCCTGCCTGCCTCCCTCCTGGTTCATGGGCCTTGTGCGTCTGTCCCCCTCTCCTTGAATGCTCACGACACCCCTGTTAAGAGCTTGGGAGTAATTTTACTTATCAGCGCTCAGGGGAGTCCCCGAGTTTCAAGACAATAAAGCATTAAGACAGTACTTTGCAACCACGGCCCGTCAATACAAAATAATAATTCCTTGCGTTTATGTGGAACTAGCAGAGCGTTCAAAGCGCTTTCTCACAATTATCTTGTTGTGATCCTCACAGCATCTCCATTTGGCAGATCCAGTAATAGCACGGTAATTCACCCTCTTTCGGATCCAATTCGCTGCGTGCCGTCGCTTTGTGTAGCTGGCGGTGGGCAGGGGGAGAAGGGATGGGATGGAGTGGCTGGAGTCCTCAGCAGACGTGCTGCAGCTTTTTTGTTGCAGGACTCCCATCTGCTAACCTCATTGCAGATGGAGGCTGAGTCAATAACCCCTCAAAAATCAACAGTAGAGAAGAGATGGTTTGATCTTCCTGCTCGGTTCATGTTTGCACTGGCTCGCCCCCCCCCCCCCGCCTTGAAAATGTCCTCTTGAGCATATGCATAAAGAGATTATTGTGGACTTTAGGAAATGTAAATTGAATATTCAGCCACTCATTATTGAGGGGAAGTGCGCGGAACAGGTCTCGGTGTTTCGATTTCTGGGAATGGAGTTGAGAGATGACCTAACCTGGGGAGAAAACACTAAAGACCTGGTGAAGAGAGCACAGCAGAGGTTATATTTTCTGAGAATCCTCCGGAAAAATAATCTCTCAAAGGACCTGTTGATGGCATTTTACCATTGCACTGTGGAGAGTGTATTAACTTATGGTCTGTGTGTGTGGTTTGGGAGCTGCACGGTCAGGGGAAAAACAATGCTGTCCAGGGTTGTCAAGACTGCGGAGAGAATAATTGGGTGCATTCTTCCCACCTTGGATCAAATCTATGCTTCCAGGTTCCATAAGAAAGCTGCAGAGATAGCGCAGGATAGTGTGGACCCCGGAAATTATCTCTTTCAGCTTCTGCCTTCTGGAAGAAGGTACAGGGTTATAAAGACTAGGACTAGCTGCCTGAGAATAAAGATTATCTTATCGTATCGCACATTACTCTGGATGTCAGGACTGGACGCCTGCCTTCACATCCATTCTGAACAGAGGAGCTTCTCTCTGTGGCTGTGTGGCACTGGCTGATGTAGGTACCTTTTTTCACTGGTGGTGGAGATGCCTGTCTCTTTTCCCTAATCTTTTAGATGTGGTGGCCATTTTGTATTATGCTTCGCCTCAACAGCAGTCATATTGTGCCCCTCTACATTTCGACAACAGCCATATTGTGACTGGCGCCCCCCTGGCACTTTCTCCAGATTCCAAAATGAGCCCGCTGGCGCAAAAAAAGATTGAGGAGAAAGGAGTAGAGAGGTTTTGTCCTTCTTACTTACAGCCTTGTACATAGCAGGGAGACGCACAACCAGACACACAGAGGGAAGACTTCCTCAGAACCACGCAGCCAACCAGAGCATGTGTTACCTCAGTAGAGATTGTGCTGCTCGGACTGGCTGCTAAGCAACACCGCCATCTTCCTCGTGGCTCGTTGACTTTAACATTAACAGAATTAAACTTTAAGTTGCAAACCGAATTAACGCTGCTGCCGTACTTCCACTGGCTAGGAGCCCTCTCCATTCTGGGGTTCCTGTGAACTGCGACATTCTCTCTCTCTCTCTCTCTCCCCCCCCCCCATCCAGAGAATGGCGAATGGGAGATCATTCACAGGCCGGCCCGCAAAAACACTGACCCATGCGCCCCTCGCGACAGCAACAAGCACCAGGACATCACCTTTTACCTCATCATCAAGCGCAAGCCGCTTTTCTACATCATCAACATCGTCACCCCCTGCATCCTCATCGCCTTCATGATCATCCTGATTTTCTACCTGCCTGCTGACTGTGAGCAAAATCTAACCATCGAGTCCAACCCTGTATGCAGCCACCCCAGACAGGGATCGAACCTGTAACCTTGGCATTATCAGCACACTGCTCTAAACAAACTGAGCTATCCCTAATGAAGCATGTGCTAATGAGGGTGGGATGTGTAGCACCAGTTCCGGGCTCAATTTGAAGTTCCGGTTTGATCTATAGAAAATTATGTGGCTCAGGACCCCAATGGCCCCAGAATTGCCTCTTGAACTGACCCAGATCCTGCAATCATCATCTGAGTCTCTTCTCTGTCTTCCTCCTCCATGGGAGGCCCAGAGGGTGGCGATATTCTAGAAGGGCCTTTTTAGTGGTGGCTCCCTGTTTGTGGAATACTTTCCCCAGGGAGCCACACCTGGTACTATCTTTCTCTATCTGCAGGTGCCAGGCAACTTACTCTTTATTTTTCCCTTCTCCTAGCCTTTTGACCCTTATTTTGAAGGCTTTCTGGTATTTGGAGCCTCTTTTAGTGGGGCAGGTTCCACAAGGCCTGTCTTCTACCTGCACAGGTGTGCTTTGAGTTTTCATTGCTCCTGTTTGTTGCAGTTGATTTCAGCACTCATACAATTTGTGTGAGTCTCTATGTCTTGCTTCCTAGAGGAAAGCGGCTAATAAACTCCCTTCTGCTCCTCCTTTCGTGCCTTCCAGGTGGGGAGAAGGTGACCCTGGCCATCTCCATCCTGCTGGCTCAGTCTGTCTTCTTGCTGCTGATCTCCCAGCGTCTCCCAGCCACCTCCTTAGCCATCCCTCTCATTGGCAAGTAAGTCTTGCTCTGCCTGGAACACTATCTTGGAGGACTAGGCTATCAAGGTCTAACAGCCATGATGGCTACGCTCTCCCTCTTGAATCTCCTGATCTTGCAGCTAGCCTTTCCTTGTGTTCTCAGCCTGCTTGTCCCTTTGTGATCCTTATCATTTTGCATTCTCCCCCTTCCTTGTTCGTTCAGATTATTTCTGTCGTTCAGTATGAATTGTGCAGCTGCCTGGAAGGCTCTTGAATGGGGCAGCAGCTGTGCAGGGCGCCATCATTTGAAAACATAAATATTGCGTCAGGAAGGCTGCACAGAGGAAGAATGGTGGGAGCTACTCCCTCCCCTTGATCCTGAATCTTCCCAGGAGCAGGAGGACAGTATAGATTTGGAACAGTGGTTTGCAGAGGGGCTTAGTTCCGAAGGCAGAAGCTGGGAAATACTGGATGGGGAACAGCTAGAAGAAGAACAACTGGGAGAGAGAGGGTTAACAGATTCACAGTCTTTGGGTAGCATTCCTCCACCGCCCTCCCCAAGGTTGAGAAGAGCTCAGAAAGTCTCAGAACAGAAAGCGCAGAGCGTACAAGCTCAGATTACAAGACGTAGGAGTGACGTAGATTAATAGGGACGGAGCGGGGAGTAACCTTTAATTGGGAGCACCGCCATTTCTAGGGTGACATGTTCTTTTGTCTCCACTGGTGATTATTAAAGAATCTAACTGGTAAGATATTCCTTCCCTTTGATCTTATTATTCACTGCCATGGGCGAGGAAGGTGATTCCCCGAAGCCTGACATATTGGCCCCTGTTTCTCTCAAATGCACCTTCTGCCTCTCCCCCCTTCCCTGGGCAGGTACCTGCTTTTCGTCATGCTGCTTGTGACTGCCGTGGGGGTAGCCATCGTCACAGAGCTCAACATCCATTTCCGTACCCCCAGCACCCACATCCTGACCGACTGGACCAAAGAGGTGAGCTGCGAAGGTCGGGTAACAGGGAGGGGGTGGAGATGTGTAAATCCCACATACCATGCGCCCAGGAAATACCACCAGCGTGGCAGTGTAGCATAGTGGTTGGTGTGTCAGAGTAGGACCTCTTGGAGACCGGGGTTCAAATCCCCATTGTTGTTTAGTCGTTTAGTCGTGCCCGACTCTTCGTGACCCCATGGACCAGAGCACGCCAGGCCCTCCTGTCTTCCACTGCCTCCTGCAGTCTGCTCAAACTCATGCTGGTAGCCTCGAGAACACTATCCAACCATCTCATCCTCTGTCGCCCCCTTCTCTTTGTGCCCTCCATCTTTCCCAGCATCAGTGGGAGTCTTCTCTTCTCATGAGGTGGCCAAAGTACTGGAGCCTCAGCTTCACGATCTGTCCTTCCAGACCACCCCCCAAAACATCAAACAAACATCACAGAAGGAGGCGGTCTACAGCAGAGATCCTGCCTGCCAGGATACCTGATAGTGGTCACTGATTGCTTTACCTGGGCAGCCTGGCCATTCTTTTGTGATGGTTAATATTTAGTCCCTGAGCCCAGGTCGCAGGCTCACCCTATTCATACACAGATGCACCCTTAAAACAGGATTTGTAAGCAAAAAGACAATGGGAAGGCAGAGGAATATTTGAGAGAGTCAAAATGGCTTCAGGATTGCTCTCCTGTACTGTTTCAGACACGTGGTTTATATACTTATGCGTGTGTTTGCCTTGGACATTTAAATTATATTTGAGTGCTTAGAATTCTTATGACGCTACCTCCCCCAACCTTTCTGCTTCCCTGTCTCCCCAATGCTGCAGTTTTTCCTGGAGACCCTCCCTCGCCTCCTTCGCATGTCCAAACCGGCCGAGAGTGAGCCCGAACACAGGCTGGTGATCCGGCGATGCAGCTCTGTGGGCTACATTGCCAAGGCGGAGGAGTACTTCACCGTGAAGTCCCGCAGCGAGCTGATGTTCGAGAAGCAGTCGGAGAGGCACGGCTTGGCTAGCCGCATCACCCCTGCCAGTGAGCTTGCGTGGGGCAGAGGGTGGTCACTGCTCCCAGGGGGCCAGAAGAGGGCCACCGTCTCAGAGGGCTTGAAGAGAAGACGAGGCAGAACTTACAGAGGGCAGGACAGGCTCATGAGAACATGAGTCCTGATGGCACAGACCCAAGGGACCACATGCTCTTCTCAACAGTTTTCTGCGGGCCATACAGTGGTACCTCTGGTTGCGAACGGGATCCGTTCCGGAGCCCCGTTCTCAACTTGAGCAGAACGCAACCCGCATCTGTGCGTCCGCGGATCGCGATTTGCTGCTTCTGCGCATGCGCGTGACGTCATTTTGAGCTTCTGCGCATGCGCATGCGGCGAAACCCGGAAGTAACCCTTTTCGGTACTTCCGGGTCGCCACGGGACACAACCTGAAAAGATTTAACCCGAAGCGTCTTTAACCCAAGGTATGACTGTATTTTATTTTGTTCCATCTCATTTTTAATTTGTATACCGCCTTTCTATATTACTATACACAAGGCGGTTTGCAAAGCTGAAGAAACAGCAAAATAGACAGATCACCCACCTAATAACAACCTGATCCAATGCACAAAAGTCATAATGAAAACATAATTTTGAAATGAGCAACCTATATCGAACAAAGCAATATTCAATCATCCATTAGAATATAATAGAATTAAATATCAGCAGATGATAATTAAACAGTTTACACTTAACAATTATGATAAAGAACTACAAAACTATAATCAATAAAAATAACGTCAAGTCACAGTGCATAAAATACCACAAAACCTGCAAAACCAGGTAAAAGGGTCAAATCGAGAAACAAGGAGGCACAAGTTACAAAATTATTATTTTTTAATATTCCTGGTGGGTGGGGCTAGAGGCAAAAGTGGGTTTTAGGGTTGCAAAGGAGGCTGGTTTCTATGCCCACTCACATGCCCCTCTCTGCCCTCAGTCCACGCAGGTAAGAGTCATGGTCAGAGTTCTAGGACATAGTCCAGCCAGGCAAAAACACTCCAGCAGAGGGTGAAGGGGTGTGTGGCCTGGGGAGACTCCCAAGGGCCAGAGGGAGAGGCCTGGACTTCTCCCCCCCCCCCGCCCACCAGCATGAGGCTCCTCCACCCTTGGTCTATCTGGCCCAGCATCCTGTTCTCGCAGTGGCCAACCAGATACCTCAAGCAGCACCTGAGTGCTCGGTTATCAATAATAATAATAATAATAATAATAATAATAATAATAATAATAACAACAACAACAACAACAACAACAACAATTTATTATTTATACCCCGTCCATCTGGCTGGGCTTCCCCAGCCACTCTGGGCAGCTTTCAACAGAATATTAAAAATACAATAAATCATCAAACATTAAAAGCTTCCCTGAACAGGGCTGCCTTCAGACGTCTTCTAAAAGTCAGATGGTTGTTTATTTCCTTGACAGCTGATGGGAGGGCGTTCTATAGGGCGGGTGCCACCACCGAGAAGGCCCTCTGCCTGGTTCCCTGTAACCTCACTTTTTGCAGCAAGGGAACTGTCAGAAGGCCCTCGGCACTTGGCCTCAGTGTCCAGGCAGAACGATGGGGGTGGAGACGCTCCTTCAGGTCTACTGGGCTGAGGCCATTTAGGGCTTTAAAGGCCAGCACCAACACTTTGAATTGTGCTCGGAAACATACTGGGAGCCAATGTAGGTCTCCACCACTGAATCCCAGTAGAACCTCCATTGGTTGCTCTTTATGAGAACTGGAACAGGCCTGAGAGCGGCTTCTGCACCAGGATGTAATGATCCTTAAAAAAGTCTTAACCAACTTACATAAAATATGCATTATAATTACACATCGGGTCAGATGTAAAAAGCAAGGAAAGTTTAAAAGAATTATAAACTGACACACACCGGTGTGTCCAGTCAGTAGAACCTCCGCTGTGGTTCACCGTGGCTCAAATTCAAACTGAATTTTTATCTAACACCAGAGCACCATCTCCAAAACACGCTGGCTGCCAGGAAATTCGAATATTGTTTTTATAGACTGTAAATTTAGCTGGTGGATGTAAACGCTTGGGTTGTAATTTTTTTATGCCTGCCTTGCACTGCCGCTGTGGGCTGTGCTTTTTATTATTGCTGTTATCAGAACAGCAGCTTAGAAATATTGTTCATAAATAGATAAATGTTTGAAAGCCCGGGCATTGGCGCTAATCTGCATTCGTGAACACTGCAGGGCTGTTGCAATGGGAAGGGGGGGCGGACAGGAGAGCCTTGCAGGGGCCTAAGCCCCTCTCCTGCAGCCCCCACTTCTTAGCGAAGGGACCTCTGTGGTCGCACACACCCATCTGCTTGTAAATTGTGGAATATTTATTCCAAAAACGTTATGCAGCCAACTCAGTGGCAACGATTCGCATGGCGACTAATTTATAAGTTAAATACTGCAGAGGGAACACAGAAATCTTGCAAATCAGTGGCAAACCAGACTGTGGTGCCTGCGAAACACTGGGCAGATTAGAGCCCCTGTAAGCAGAGAAGCAGAGGTGGCCCATCCCATCTTGCCGCCTGAGGCGAAACGGGAAGGCGCTGCCCTGCGTGCGAGACGTATTTTTCGCTCCATAAGATGCGCCTGACCATAAGATGCACCTAGTTTTTAGAGCAGGGAAAAAAGAAAAAAAATATTCTGAACTAAACAGTGGATGTATGATTTTTGTGGTTCATGCTGTGGCCACAGACATGTGATCTGATGGTGAATTTGGGGTCACCCAATGTAAAAATCCTGAGGATCCATGGGCTTTTACCTCCCCCCTCCCAGGCAGCCTCCTCTAGGTCCCTTATCTCTCTTCTGATCCCACCGATCAGCTGTTTCCTTTCAATACCCCTTCCCTCTTGTTTGCCTTAGTGTCTTTTCCTTAGCTGGAGCTGTTTTTTGCTCCTCCTTTTCTCCTAATTTCTCTCCTTGTTGCTTTAGTCTTCCTGTTTCCCCCACTTTGCAAGTTTACTGTCTTTACCTCCCCCCTCCCAGGCAGCCTCCTTTATCTCTAGCATCCCTTATCTCTCTCCCCGATCGGCAAACGATCAGCGGCTTTGTTTCAACACCTGCTTCCCTCTTTCAAAAAAAAAAAGGATGATCTGCTTTTTGCCCCTGGGCAATTCGGCTCCAGGGACCACGCATTCGCTCCATAAGATGCACAGACATTTCCCCTTACTTTTTAGGGGGGGGAGTGCATCTTATGGAGCGAAAAATATGGTACATACACTCTTGACACCCCCACTGAAGCCTCACTTACCAGGGTCACAAGAAGGCAGCTGAGGACTGTCCTCTGTGAAGTGGACTGAATGGCCACCCAAGTCTCGCTGTGGCCCAGGTTTGGTTCCAGCGGGTGGCCAGGGGAGGCCTCTCTGGGGCTGGCAAGGGGCCCTGCACCCCAGCAGCAGCTCCAAAGATCAGAGAGGATATTCTCGACGCATTGCAGGGGGTTGGACTAGATGACCACAAGGGTCCCTTCCAACTCTACAGTTCTAGGATTCCATGAAGCCCCTTTTTGTTTGTGAGTCCACTAAGGTCATCTTGATTACGGATGGATGAATCTGCCAGCTGTGCTTAATATGCACATTTCTGCAAAGACATTTTCCCCAATAAAATGTGCTTTTGCTTCCCCAAAATGCAGAATGCTGTAGCGAGGCTCCTTACGGGGTCCTTGCCGTGGGATCACATTCATCCAGTGCTTTACCAACTGCACTGGCTCCCGGTGGAGTACAGGGTCAGATGTAAGGTGCTGGTTTTGACCTTTAAAGCCCTATGTGGCCTAGGACCCACGTACCTATGGGACCGCCTCTCCTGGTGTGCCCCGCAGAGGACCTTATGGTCCACAAATGACAACATTTTGGAGGTCCCAGTACGCAAGGTGGTTAGATTGGTCTCAACTAGGGCCAGGGCTTTTCAGTACTGGCCCCGACGTGGTGGAACGCTCTGTCACAAGAGACTAGGGCCCTGCGGGACTTGACATCCTTCTGCAGGGCCTGCAAGACAGAGCTATTCCGCCTGGCCTTTGGTTTGGACTCAGTCTGACCCTTATGTTTCCCTCCCCTTATGGTCTTGATCTATCGGATACTCTTAAAATGAGGCTGCATTTTAAATTGTATTTTAACCTGTATTTTAAATTGCCCCCCCCATTTATGTTTTTACTGTGATTTTATTGGTGTTAGCCACCCTGAGCCCGGCTCTGGCCGGGGGTATGAATAAATTTTATTATTATTATTATTATTATTATTATTATTATTATTATTATTATTATTATATATTTGATACTGACTTTATATGCAGCCGACACATTTTTGTGCCCACCGCTTGGCTGGAGAACTGCACAGTGAAGGATGGCTGTACATTTCAGTTCAGGTCCCCCCATAAACCGCAAATTGGGTAGCTTCACCCCGAAGTGCAAGCTGAACTGAATTCCTCCCTCCACCCATCGTAGCCCAGTTTGCTTGATCCGGGAGCTGGGACCCAAATTCTGTGCTGCCCTCTCGGTGGCTGCCTTCACCCTGCATTTGTGAGGACCCCCCCCCCTGTTTCCTGGATGATGTAACCTGCTCACCGCTTCCCTCCTCTCTGTCCGCTAGGGCCAAACCCCCACGGGGTGGAGAGCACACAGGAACAGCTCTACAATGAGATCAAGCCGGCCATCACGGGAGCCAACTTCATCGTGAAGCACACGCGAGACAAGAACGACTACAATGAGGTGATCTTGGCAGAAGCCTCACGGCTCTTCTCTGGTTTACCTTTGGTTCCTCTGAGCCCACAGCTCCTTGCTAGTGCCTTAGATTACAAAGGATTCCTCCTCAACAGTCATCGATGCCCCGTCCGCACTACGCATTTAAAGCAGTATCATTCCACTTTAAACGGTCCTGGCTTCCCCCGAAGAATCCTGGGATCTGTAGTTTATTGTTTGGTGCTGAGAGTTGTTAGGGGACGCCTGCTACCCTCATGGAGCTATAGTTCCCAGAGGGAATAATAATAATAATAATAATAATAATAATAATAATAATAATAATTTATTATTTATACCCTGCCCATGTGGCCGGGGCTCCCCAGCCACTCTGGGCAGCATCCAACAAAATATTGAAAAACCCCTCTCCCCAGGCAACTCTAGGAATTGGATGCTCTGCTGGATTTTAACCCTTGCTGGATCCAGGAGATTAGGAGGGACTGAGGTTAAATCTTTGCCAAACATACAACCATTTTAGTAAAGGTAAATGGACCCCTGACCACTAGGTCCAGTCGTGGACGACTCTGGAGTTGCGGCGCTCATCTCGCTTTACTGGCCGAGGGAGCCGGCGTACAGCTTCCAGGTCATGTGGCCAGCATGACTAAGCCGCTTCTGGCGAACCAGAGCAGCGCACGGAAACGCCATTTACCTTCCCGCTGGAGCGGTACCTATTTATCTACTTGCACTTTGAGGTGCTTTCAAACTGCTAGGTCGTCAGGAGCAGGGACCGAGCAACGGGAGCTCACCCCGTTGTGGGGATTCGAACCACCGACCTTCTGATCGGCAATCCTTAGGCTCTGTGGTTTAACCCACAGCGCCACTCGCGTCCCAACAACCATGTTAAATGATGTGAAATCATCTTAAATAGTAATGATTATATTAGAGTGGCCTTGTACCAAGTCGGATCACTATTCCATCTAGCTCAGTGCTGTGCGGCACTGACTGGCAGCTGCTCTCGAGGGTTCCAGGCAAGGACTATGGAATGGCTCTCCTGGAAGGTGCCATTGAGGATGAACCTGGGACCTTGTACATGCCAAGCCTATACCTGCAATTTCGCAATACGGCAGGCTCGCAACTTGCAACGCATTTAACTGTGGGGTTGCAGCTTTACACATTTGGCAGCTGGTCAGCCAACACCGCACAAATTAAGTGCATGCAAGGCGGAGAGCTTAGAAGCTCTTTTCTTGCCACAGAAGTGACTTCTAAGCTTTCCACGTTGCTTCCCGGGCTCTGGGAAGGTCTGTTTGGCTCTAGGAGGCTCTCTGCCTTCTGGTTTCGTGGGGAGCAAAGCCTGCCTGGCATGCCAGCTTTGAGAAATTAAGGATGGTCACACAGGGACAGTTCTGGGGTTGCTATGACTATGTACCGGCTTGGCTTTCCACATGTGCTGGGCCTGGGGGTAACCCGTGAAACACGGTCCAGGTCCGGTCCAGAATCCAAATGTTCCGCTAGGAGTCACTCTGACAGGGCCAAGGCAGGACACAAGGCAGGAAACCAGGCAAGGACAGGTACAGGATCTCAGGCAGGTTCTAGCATACAGCAATGTTGCTCCCACAACCTGGGGCGGGGTCCGGCAGCCTTTTATCTCTGTCGGGGTAACGGCCGGTCCTGATCCCCCGGCGACTCACCTCCCTGTTTCGCCCGAAAGCGAGCACTCCTCCTGCGAGTACTCAGGTCTCTCCTTCTCCAGACCTTAGTCTCTGCAACTCAGGAGACGTCGGTGGGTTACTAGACCCAGGGGCCGCCTCAGCCTCCCCTGACCCAACCGGTAGTGGAGCAGCTGTAAGTGATGGCCCAGCTGGAGGCAACGAGGTCATCCCCGCATCTGGAGCCAGGGCAGGCTCAGGCCCCTGACTTGGCCCAGCTGGTGCTTGTTGCAGGGGAACCTGTGCAGACTGGGGCTCTTCAGGATCAGGCCCCAGACTTAGTTCAGATGCCGCCTGAGGCAAAGGATCCGGTGTGGACTGAGACTCCTCTGGTTCCGAGTCCGAGCCCAAGTCCCAGGCTATTACACCACACAGTCGCCACCCCCTGCCAAAATGTAACCTCTCCTTGTTGGGAGCCTACTGTATCCCAACTGAGCCCTGCCCTCCCTTTGCATCCTTCATCTCTGGCTGCGCACACCAACCGAATGACAGGACCAGCCTTTGGCTCATGTGCCGCGGAGGCTGGATGGTAATCTGTCATGGATGCTTTAGTTGAGAGGGGGTTGGACTAGATGACCCTCGGTTTCTCTTCCTGCTCTACAATCCTATTATTCTCTGCTGCGCAGCCCAGCTGTTGAGAGGGCATCCTTGGATACCATCACTTTCTGTGTCAGGCTGTGGTGCAGAATGTACTGTATGCATCGACCGGGAAATGGGAAGGTTGTGTATGCTTGAGTTGGCCCTTGACCTCTGTACATGGGTTGGGGGGGGAGAGATTTTGTGGTCTTTGGGCCCCTTCCGAACCTTGCGATTTCATTGGCAGGAGATAGACAACTGGAACAGCATTGCTCGCACGGTGGACCGCCTTTGCTTCTTCCTGGTCATGCCCGTTCTGAGCCTCGGCACCTTGTGGATCTTCCTGAACGGGTCCTACAACCACCCTCCCCCCTTGCCCTTCGAAGGGGATCCCTACGACTACAATGAAGTGAACAAGAATTACATCTAGAGCTGGAGGGGACCCTTGACCCCCATCTCCCCAGATTCAGAGGGCTGCACCAGGCCCTTGACTCCATTTGAGAGCCGGTCTTCTTCCCTTCCTCTTACCTGTGAGATGGGACGCAGCCCGTACTCACTCACGCTCACCTCCCAAGCCAGCTGGTGTGTTGCATTCTCTTAAATTGTTTCTGCTTTTCTGACTTGTCTATTGCGGTGCAATAAAAGCTGTGTTTCCCAAGCGCTGGCTCCGAAACTACAGGGAGGACATGTTCAGGCATAAGAGTCCTGGATAGCAAGGGGGAAAGGTTGACGTAACTTTTCTTAGGCAATGTGCCTCAGGGTGAGGAAAACCACCCTCACTACGTTCCACACAAAAAATTGTATCTCTTTCCATCACTGGTAAATTCCTTTCATGTGACATAGAAATCTTATAAGCTGCCTTATGTCAAGTCAGATACCCTTGGCCCATCTAGCCTAATATTGTCTACACTGACTGGCAGAACCTCTTCAGCCCTGCGTTGGGATGCCAGGGATTGAATCTGGGGCCTTCTGCATGAAAAGCAGGTGCTATATGACCACCCCTACCCCCTCTCTTTTTAAATAAATGTTGTTTAGTCTGAACTATGGAAAAGCCAGCCATGCAAAGCTCCTATTGGGCAATGCCTGTGCCTTCACCAACACTACTTCCTGATGCAGTTTTTCAACATCCTGCAGTCCAATACACACTTACCTGGGAGTAAAGGTGTTTCCAGATTAGGGATGGACAAATCTGAACATGTCAGCTTCTCTTTTTTCCAATCTTAGATTCAGTTCCCCACATATCAGTTTGCTTTTTTAAAAAGAGTCCTTGTGAAAAATTGTCAGAGTTTAGTGTGCATTTATCCAACATATACTCAGTTTTGTATGCAGTTTTGACTAATATAGACATTTTCCAAGACATTTTCAGTAATAAACTGCATTTTTAATGTTATTTTCGCAAATATATGCTTTTTTAATGCATGCTTTCCTCTGTTTTATCAATTTCTGTGCACATTATTGGTCGGAATGCTACATTGCAAAATTTAGAGAAGTACAAAGCTTGAAGGATGGCTGTGTTTCAGTTTGCGTATCATATCAGGAGGTGCAAATTAGGAAGGTCCACATTAGAATGCAAACTGAACTGAATTTATCCCCCATCCCTCTTCCAGACATGAAGCTCATTTTGCAAATGGGTCATTCAGATCTGATATTTATTCTGTGTGCGCATTTGGCAGGTGAGCTTCCACACATTCCTGCTGGGGGTTTTAAGGTAATATTGTTCCTGTTACACCACTTGCCATCCATATCAGGGGGAGGGCTTGATGGAATGTATATGTGTGCGTTTTGGTGTTTTTTGTCCTTCCCTGAGCAGTCAGAGAAACCTCTGTGAAGTCTGCAAACAGGAGCTGAGGGCAAAAACACTTTTCTCACTTATGATCCGCAGCAACTGGTTTTCCGAAGCATCCTGCATCTGACAGGGAAGGGAGAACACAGCCCTGCAGTATCTTCTCCCATCCTGGTGTGCAGGTATTTCTGTACATGCACCTTTTAATTAAAAAATATTCCCCTGGATATGCACAACAGCAAATACTGCTTACAGGCTTCATTTAACAAAATTTAGACACCATTTGACTGTAACAGACAAAAACAAAAACACTACCAAACCTCCGCAACCAGTTATTTATTCATTTAAATAACATGTCTCAAAGCGATTTAACAATAATTACAATTGCATATTTAAAGGCAACAATGGCTGCAACTGCATATTTTAAAGAATTTGAAACAATTCCACATAAGACAATCGAAACTACCACGTATAAAAGCAATTTCATATCCAACAGAAGATTCAGACAGGGATGCTTTTATTTCACAATGGGCAAAATGGAGGTTTGTGCATTTGGAAGCATTGCATTAAAAATAACCATACAAAAGGCCCGACACTGTTGGAGGGAGAGAGTTGGAAGAGAGATTCCTACTCTCCAGGAGCAGTTAAGCACAGTGGTGATTGCTCCAAGCACATTAAAACTTGATTAGATTTACACCTGCCCTCATCCACCTTGAAATGAACATTCCTGACAAAAATACTTAGGCTAGAATAAATCACAGCCTCTTCACTTTGCAAATAAGTGAAGATTTTTAATCTCAGAGTTTCAGAAGTTACAGTGAACATCTGTTTGCAGTAAAATAAAGAAGAAAAATGATCTATACAACTTGAAAATAAAATAACTTGGTTTCCTTGGTTTTTTTCCTACATTTTTTCTAACAATTGTTTTTCCACCTGCTTTTGCCCAGACAAGATGCCTTTTTCAGGGCAAGATCTTGCAAAACACGTGTTTTGGGGCACCGCACAAGATCGTGGCCCTGGGGAAAGTGTTGTTGTTTTTTTTGCAGGACGAGAGAGCGCAGCACCCAAAATGGCTGCTGCGCTCTCGCGCAACACTTGGCGGGTATGCCTTCTTTGTTGACATTGCCCATTGTTGCAAATCGCCTTGTCAAATTTTGAAGGAGTGCTATGTGCCAAACCACATTCAGACTGCCCTGCTCCTTGGATTTCCAGGAGGTTGGGTTTTTTTGTTTTGCAATTACCATCCCCTTCTAAAGCCTTCCAGGTCTGCCGCTACCACGGCGACCCCATACAGGAGCAAATTCCATCAATTCACTCTGCGCTGTGCGCCCCGAATCTTCATCCAAAACGGGTCTCAAAGTTGCCACAAAGCAACAGAAGTGGCTTCCTGAAGCGACCTCTGGACTGAGCCAAGTCATGCCTGGGGGCTTATTTTTAACCCCCAGGTCCTGCCGCATCGGCTGCCGGCTGTTGTGTGGAGAAAGGAGGTTAGGGGGTCAGGCTGCGGTGGGCAAAGGAGACATGGCCTTGGAGGAAGTGCCTTTCTCTGGGGCACAGATCCCATTTCACAGGTGGCAGCTGAGGTTCCAGGAATGTGGACCACCAACAGCTGTGGCCTGAGGGGGGGCCAGGATCTCTTTGGGAGTGACTGGGATTGAAGGGCAGGCGTGAAGGCGTCAAGCTGAGGAGGATTCCTGCTCCCTTCAGTGACACCATCACTGGCTCAGTCGGGGGGGGGACAACATATTGTGGTTGCGCTCACTGATCCCCTCAGCTTTTCGATAAAAATGATACAAATTTATTTGTTTATTGGAAAGAAGAAGGAGTCCCTACCAGAGAGGAACGGCAAACTAAGCTGATGGACTACGCCAAAATGGCAAAGCTGACTGGGAAACTCAGGAACCAAGAGGACAAAAAGTTTTAAAAGGAATGGGAAATTTTTAATAATTTATTTAGGAGACCACTGTAAGCAGATGAAAACATTAGCAGTGTTTTTTTTAAAAAAATTAAATATATCTTTATTAATTTAAAATAAATACATTTATGAAAAAAACAGGTGTACATACAAGTAAGCAAACATACAATCAAACAAACAAATAACAGAAAAATCAAACAAACCACCACACTATAAGATACAAGAGGATTAATATAATTATCATCATATATACTCCTGATACTGAACTCAGTTATAAAACTTATAGAGAAGAAATTTAAACATTGTTGTTGTTGTTTAGTCGTTTAGTCGTGTCCGACTCTTTGTGACCCCCTTGGACCAGAGCACGCCAGGCACCTCTGTCCTCCACTACTTCCCGCAGTTTGGTCAAACTCATGCTGGTAACCTCGAAAACACTATCCAACCATCTCGTCCTCTGTCGTCCCCTTCTCCTTGTGCCCTCCATCTTTCCCAGCATCAGTGTCTTCTCCAGGGAGTCTTCTCTTCTCATGAGGTGGCCAAAGTACTGGAGCCTCAGCTTCATGATCTGTCCTTCCAGTGAGCACTCAGGGCTGATTTCCTTCAGAATGGATGCGTTTGATCTTCTTGCAGTCCATGGGACTCTCAAGAGTCTTCTCCAGCACCATAATTCAAAAGCATCAATTCTTCGGCGATCAGCCTTCTTTATGGTCCAGCTCTCACTTCCATACATCACTACTGGGAAAACCATGGCTTTAACTATACGGACCTTTGTTGGCAAGGTGACGTCTCTACTTGCCATGGCGAAGGGGCTTGAAGAACTCAGAGAAGCTATGAACTATGCCAAGCAGGGCACACAAGATGAACAGGTCATAGTGGAGAGTTTTGACCAAACGTGATCCACCTGGAGGAGGAACCGGCAAGCCACTCCAGTATCCTTGCCAAGAAAACTCCATGGACAAAGACAACAGGCATTTAAACATTATCAGGGTTTTAATATCACTTGTAATGTAACAGGTATTATGGATAATTTGGATGAATACAAAAGATGGATTAGGAAATAATATGTAGTTAGAAATGTTTACATTAGGAGACACATGGTGGGGATGGGGGGGGAGTCGCGAGATTCAGAGAAATCTCTTTATATAGATACGTAAGTGGTACTGTTATAAACTCATTTTTGTAAAATCGAATAAAAAATGAATTTAAAAAACAAAATTTATTTATTTAAAAGCATTTATAAACTGCTTAATTATTTTTTTTCCTGAGAGGCATACAATGCTTTCTTTCTTTTTCTTTCTTTTTAAAGCACCATTAAAGAATAATAAAGCCTAAAGCCAATAAAAAGGCATTATAAAAGCATATAAAACAGGCCCCACACCAAGCAGGGGGGCTGCTGCTAGCAAAATCTGAAGTTGCCGGGAGGGTGGAAGAAGGACTGTACTGTTTATAGGAGGCCTAGCGGAGCCTCCAGGGACCTTCCCCCTCCCCCAGGGGTAAAAAAAATAAAATCCTAGGCTGGGTGGTATTTTTGCCACCAGGGTCAGAAGAGCGAGGCTGCTTGTACCACACACTGAACACATGCAGAGTGGCTTCCATCAGGCAGCTCCAACATGATCTCCAGATGTCCAAGATTAGGGGTCAGGCTTCTAATACAAAGAACTTGAGTGAATACATGCCAGGCAAGTTTGAATTCTACTCTCCGCTTTCCCCAGAAATTAAATAATGATAAACACTGAAACAACTGGCAAGCACATTTCTCAGTGTCTCCTGTTGGCAGAATATGGCACTCAGATAAGGATGGATGAATCTGTCAATTTCAGTTCCCTTATTCCGTCCGTCCACCCGTCCCCTTTCCAGTCCTGAATTCAGTCCTCTACATTTCTGCAGCAATTTCCCCTGGTTCAACTCCTCTTTGTACCTTACTATGCATTTGATGCAACTCTCTCCCTGGTATATGCACCCGTCTACCTACTGTTTGGTTGGAGAACCGTTCTGCAAAAATTCAGAGATGTGTGAATGCCAAAGGATAGCTTGTGATTCAAGAAGGGTGAATCAGGTAAAGGTAAAGGGACCCCTGACCATTAGGTCCAGTTGTGACAAACTCTGGGGTTGTGGCGCTCATCTCGCTTTATTGGCCAAGGGAGCTGGCGTACAGCTTCCAGGTCATATGGCCAGCATGACTAAGCCGTTTCTGGCAAACCAGAGCAGCGCACGGAAACACCGTTTACCTTCCTACCAGAGCGGTACCTATTTATCTACTTGCACTTTGGCGTGCTTTCGAACTGCTAGGTTGGCAGGAGCAGGGACCAAGCAACGGGAGCTCACCCCGTCGCGGGGATTCGAACCGCTGACCTTCTGATCGGCAAGTCCTAGGCTCTGTGGTTTAACCCACAGCACCACCCGCGTCCGGTAGTTTCTCATTAAAACGCAAACAAAATTGAATTTTCCCTCCATCCTTATACTCAGGTAGAATAGACGGGGTGGAAGGTGTCCTCAGCTAATCTGAGGAGTTCCTATCATGCAAGATATAAGTCCTTCTCTTTGATCATCTATGGAGAAAAAGCCTCCTCTCATCTCACCTCTATAGGCAAGCCTCTGTTCACTGCAATCTTTTGGTATGAAGCCCCTCTGAAGAGGGCAGAAATTTCTCGGAAATTCCGCTGCCGGAGGCTGGTCGTCCTCTTTGTTCCTATAAATAGGGGCCCTGACCGCTTCCCTGATCACACAATGCCCTGGGCACAGACATGTTCCTGGCACTGTCTCCTTGCTGCAGCTCTCCCCCAGCCCCATTGGGAAGAGATGACTGTGCTCAATGGCTCAGTTCGGCTTGCATGCCCAAGGGGGTTGGCAGGGACAGCCAGTCCCCCCTCTCCCCCCCCCCCGCAGCCTCACCTTCTCCACTCTGTTTTTCCAAAGGCAGTCGTCCATCACCATCAAGGAAACAGCTGACAATGCAAGCACTCGTGGGACAGCTGGCCTGCCAAGTGGCTGAAAAGGAGGGTGGGGGGATAGGGGGGAGGAGGAGGATGGGAGAGGTGGGTTTCAGCTCAAAATAGCCCTCCCAGACCCTCCCAGACACACACACACACACACACTGCTGCTTGGGGTTAGGAAGGACGACTGATCTGCGCCACTGGCATGGGTTGGTCTAGCCTGGTCCTCGCCTTCACCTTCCTCACAGGTAAGGAGGCTCAGTCCAGGTGGAACTCTGGGGCTCTGATTGATGTGCTAAAACAGAACTCGGAAGCTTTTCCTTGGGAGCGGAGAAAGGGGAGGAATTGCTTGGAACTGAGATGAAATGCGAAAGCAGGAAACTCTTATGGGGAGTCAGATGGTTGGGAATGGTCTACACAGCTGGGCAGTGGGTCTCCATGGTTTCAGGCAGGGGACGGCCCCAGCTCAGCCTGGAAGTGCAGGTGGGGGCTGATTCTGGGACCGTCTTAATGCACAGCGGATTCTCTGCCCCTGAGCTATTAAAGGTAAAGGTAAAGGTACCCCTGCCCGTACGGGCCAGTCTTGACAGACTCTGGGGTTGTGCGCCCATCTCACTTAAGAGGCCAGGGTCCAGCGCTGTCCGGAGACACTTCCGGGTCACGTGGCCAGCGTGACAAAGCTGCATCTGGCGAGCCAGCGCAGCACATGGAACGCCGTTTACCTTCCCGCCAGTAAGCGGTCCCTATTTATCTACTTGCACCTGGGAGTGCTTTCGAACTGCTAGGTTGGCAGGCGCTGGGACCGAGCAACGGAAGCGCACCCCACCGCGGGGATTCGAACCGCCGACCTTTCGATCGGCAAGCCCTAGGCGCTGAGGCTTTTACCCACAGCGCCACCCGCGTCCCTGAGCTATTGCCCTTCACTAATGAGCAGGCAAGGGATGGGCAGACCGGATGTCAGAGGGATTTGTCATGGACACAATGCAGTTGTGGGGAACTAGGCACAAAATTTCATGGACTGGAGATGATAGATGATAGATAGATAGATGATGATGATAGATAGATAGATGATGATGATAGATAGATAGATAGATAGATAGATAGATAGATAGATAGATAGATAGATAGATAGATAGATAGATAGATGATAGATAGATAGATGATAGATAGATAGATAGATGATAGATGATAGATAGATAGATAGATGATAGATAGATAGATGATAGATAGATAGATGATAGATAGATAGATAGATATAGATAGATAGATAGATAGATAGATAGATAGATAGATAGAGATAGATAGATAGATAGATAGATAGATAGAGATAGATAGATAGATGATAGATAGATAGATAGATAGATAGATGATAGATAGATAGATAGATAGATAGATAGATAGATAGATAGATAGATAGATAGATAGATGATAGATAGATATAGATAGATGATAGATATAGATAGATGATAGATAGATAGATTGATTGATAGATAGATTAGATAGATAGATGATAGATGATAGATAGATAGATGATAGATGATAGATATAGATAGATAGATAGATGATAGATAGATAGATAGATAGATAGATAGATAGATAGATGATAGATAGATAGATGATAGATAGATGATAGATAGATATAGATAGATATAGATATAGATAGATAGATAGATAGATAGATAGATAGATAGATAGATGATAGATAGATATAGATAGATAGATGATAGATAGATAGATAGATAGATAGATGATAGATAGATAGATAGATAGATAGATGATAGATAGATGATAGATGATAGATAGATGATAGATGATAGATGATAGATATGAAACTGGAAAACAGGTAAGTGACACCTAAGGAGCATTTACAACACCTTTGTCCCTTTCAGTTTTAAGCTGCTCCTACCACACTGTGGGTTAAACCACAGAGCCTAGGGCTTGCCGATCAGAAGGTCGGCGGTTCGAATCCCCGTGACGGGGGGAGCTCCTGTTTCTCGGTCCCTGCTCCTGCCAACCTAGCAGTTCGAAAGCACGTCAAAGTGCAAGTAGATAAATAGGTACCGCTCTGGCAGGAAGGTAAACGGCGTTTCCGTGCGCTGCTCTGGTTCGCCAGAAGCGGCTTAGTCATGCTGGCCACATGACCCGGAAGCTGTACGCCGACTCCCTCGGCTAATAAAGCGAGATGAGCACCGCAACCCCAGAGTTGGCCACGACTGGACCTAATGGTCAGGGGTCCCTTTACCACACACACACACACACACACACACACAGCGCAAAATTGCATTTATATAGCACTTTTAGATTATCAAATATTTATTTATAACGTAACAATTAATTACGTATACTCTGCCCATCCAGCTAAGTTGCCCCAGCCTCTCTGGGTGGCTTCCAACATTATACAAAAACACAGTATAAAATCATATTGTCTCCGCCTGAGTTATCTTTACAACAACCCTGTGTGGTAGGTTAGGCACAGAGTCTCAAGGCAATCTAGTGAACTTCCTGGCTGAGTGGGAATTTGAACCCTGGACTTCCAGGTCCCACTGCACAACCACATAGGAATGGGGCAGCCACACAGGTGAACAAGCATACAAGTTTGCCTCCTGCCACACACCTCTATCTTGGTCCTCCGACTCACTGATGGTGCGTGAGTTTTTATGAGGTCCTGCGATGTATTCTGTTTCAGCGACACAATCACAGAATTGTGGAGTTGGAAGGGACCTGTGGGTCATCTAGACCAACTCCCAGCAATGCCATGCTCCAGGGGTGCCCTCAGGGGCGAGGGTGGCAGGAGACCTATGCCTCCACCAAAGTGCTCACCAATGAGGGCCGGGTTGCAGAGGCAACACAATCCAAACAGAGAACCAGCCTAAGCCCAAGAAGGATCCAGAGATAAAGTCAGGCACGAGTCTAAGGTCAAGATCGCAGGGAGGTTGTGCAAGGAACAGCACAGCAAGGCAGCAAGACCAGACTTGGGAGCAAGGAGCCAGAGAACGCCATCGTTTGCAGCAGCTGGAAATCTCAGGAGGGATAACTTAACTGGGCCAGACTTGGGCTTCCTATCGATCAGCCACCTGACATCACAATGGAACGAGGTGCGAGGTGCTTTGAAGTCCCAAAGTTGGGATTTCCCCTTGCAAGACCCTGATAAAAGGGAGGTCTTTCTCCTCCCTTCCTGAGTCCAGAACCATCCAATTATGGCAAGGGAATGACTATTCAACCGCTGCAGCATAGACAGGTCCTAAAATATCCTAGGTAGGAGCAAGTCCCCTCTGAGGAAAGGCTGTGAAGTTTGCCTTCCTCCCTCAAAGTCATTGTGGATGGAGAGTCCTGTTTGGGGGAGAGCAGCTGCTGGCCATGTCCATTAGCAAGCAGGGGGGTGGCAGGTGCCAGCCGGCAGTCACGTTAAGAGTTTTCCAAAGTTCAGTCTCCCCTTGGAGCCGCCCACTCATCCTCTCGACCCTGCCTGGCTCTATAAACTCCTCAGTAGGCAGCTGCAATTACCCTAATGAAGGCAATTTGCCAGCACTTCTCCCACACACGTCCCTTTTAGATTTTATTGGGCAGTTATCGTGGGCTAATAATTTGATAATGTACGGGATTAAAAAATAGTTAGCAAGGTAACCATCTGTGGACTAGACTAGACAGGGATAGATGGCAGGTGGAGCTGAGGGGGCTTTAATATTAATCCATTATTATTTATGGAATGCCCTCCACCTGCCTCATTAAATTCCCATTTCTGCCCAGGGATGGGAGTAAGTTTGGATTTGTGCAGGGGGCGGTTTTTCGCTTAGGGAGGTGGAACGTGATAAAGGTGTATGCAAGTATGCTGGGTGTGGCGGAAGTAAAAAGGGAGAAGTCTGCCAGTCTCTAGAAATTCAATTTGCTTTGCATTTAAAGGTGAACTCATCTAACCCAGGGGCATGCAGGTGGCGCTGTGGGTTAAACCACAGAGCCTAGGACTTGCCGATCAGAAGGTCGGTGGTTCGAATCCCCACGACAGGGTGAGCTTCTGTTGCTCAGTCCCTGCTCCTGCCAACCTAGCAGTTTGAAAGCACGTCAAAGTGCAAGTAGATAAATAGGTACCGCTCCTGCGGGAAGGTAAACGCTGCTCTGGTTCGCCAGAAGTGGCTTAGTCATGCTGGCCACATGACCCGAAAGCTGTACTCCGGCTCCCTCGGCCAATAAAGAGAGATGAGCGCCACAACCCCAGAGTCGGCCACGACTGGACCTAATGGTCAGGGGTCCCTTTACCTTTACCATCTAACCCGCACTTTCTGAAAGAAGATTCAAACCGAAACACGGGCATCTTTCAGAATCCACACTTCTCCAGATTTTGCAATGCAATTTGCCAGTCAAGCAACGTTTACAAAAAAAGGCATGTAATAAACAGGGTAAAGCGTGCATGGCAATACATATATCACCATCCAAAAATGCATTATATGATGGGAAATTATTTGCAAAAAAAAAAAAAAATGAATTGAATTGTAGAGTTGAAAGGGGTACCAAGTATCACCCAATCCCTGCAATGCAATAATTAGGTAACATCACATGCAGAAGTGTGTGTATATTAGGAGGAATTTACATTAAAATGCTGGTTTAGGGTTGTTGTTTTTTAAAAAAAGAATGCTGATGAAGAAATGCAGAGAACTGACATTAGAAAAATGAGAAACTGAGAGAAACCAGAATTTTCAGATTTGTCTGTTCCTCCTCAGACGTTTCCTGATGAGATTGAACGGCAGTAAGCACTGCAGAAACAAAAGAAGGTGATTTTCCTCACTCAGGACACAATTCATTCCCAGAACTCTCAGAGCCAGCCCTACCGTTGGGTCGAGTGAGGCAGCCGCCACATTCAGTAGATGCCTGATGTCGGGGAACAGCCATGAGATGTTGGAGGACAGAGCTGGGTGCGCCACACAGCCAGCCCTGCACCCTGTGGCAACTGTCTGGTCCACACCTGGTCTTCTCTTGCCTTGACCACTATAACCTTCCGCTCTCAAGTCTCCCATTGTCCCACCTGGTTCCCCTCACAGCTACCCATCATTTAGCTGTCATTCACTCCTCTCATTACTCTGACGCCCCTCCTTAACCTGGCTTTCTGTCCACACCAAAATCCAGCACAAGCTCCTTCTCCTTATCTCCAGGGCCCTTGTCTCCTTTATTTCTCTGCTCTCATATCCTGACACATCTCTGCCTGGGGTCTTTGTCCTCAGGCTCCGCCATCCTCAGGCCTCCTGCTCCCCTTGTAAGGACCCCCCCCCACTTTCTTGCTTGCTGCTCCCCCTGTCTAGAGTCACTTTCCCTAACACCTGTGTGATGCCACCTCCTTCCCTTCAAATGCTTCCTCGAAACCCTCCTTTTGCGTGGCGAGTTCCCGCCCTGCCCCCGTGGAAATAATGACACATGACACAATTATTAAGGTTAATGGGCTAAATAAGGCCACAACTTTTATTGGTTACAGGTGATGAGCGGTATTGGCTTAGGCATTGGTCCTAACTGACTATATCCAACTTCAGCCTGTCCGCTAGAAGTCCGGGAAGGGTTAACCAGCATTAGGGGGAGTCCTGCTGATGCACATCAACTAGGAACTCCCCCGGGGTCACCAATAGGGGGCGTGCCTTAGGTCCTCACCTCCATAGGCTTCAGACAGGGCCACGCCCCCCAAAATCCTTTACCGGACTACCCTTCAATATGTGGGGCAGGTGATGGCGCTTCCTCCCCTCTTCCATCTACAGTGCAATACCAATGCCTAACCGCCAATACCCAGAAAGTTGTGACGATTTGCTACAAGGTAGGTGGAAACCAAGTGGCTGGTGCCAATTTGCCAAGTGGAAAAATTCCTACCAGATCTCTCAACGGCGACCAACCAAGGTCCATAGCAAGGTCAAAGAATGAAAACCTTATAGGGCGGGGGGGGGGAGCAGGAACAGCTGGTAAGCAGCAAAGAGGGAGATCCCTGGCTGCTCCTGCTTTAAATAAGGCAGGCCACACCCCCAGAGCCAGCTGATTGGCTGGCCAGGAGGTCATGTGGCCGGGAATCCCCCCAGTCGCGCAGGGACTGGGTTCCAGCCGCCGCATGCGTGGTGGGGCCGTGAAGCCTGCAACTCCACCTCCTCTGAAGGGCGGAAGTGGCTTTCCAAGGCACCTTTGGCTCTCCGTACATAACAAAGAGTTGCTTCTTCATTGTCTTTCTCCAGTGGTCCTGAGCCGAAACCAGGAGGAGAAGCTTCTCAATGACCTGATGGCCAACTATGACCGCAAATTCCGCCCAGCCAAGGACGAGAGGGACATTGTTGACGTTTCGGTCAAGCTAACCCTCACCAATCTCATCACACTGGTGAGGAAGGAAGGAAGGAAGGAAGGAAGGAAGGAAGGAAGGAAGGAAGGAAGGAAGGAAGGAAGGAAGGAAGGAAGGCTTTATTTCCTCTCCCCCATGCAACATATAGCTAAACTATGGAACTCCTTTCCACAGGACGCAGTGATGGCCATGAGCCTGGATGGCTTAAAAAAATTAAATTCATGGAGGAGAGGAATATTGATGGCTATTATTTAGGGCATGTGACTGATTCTTGGGGACACTGCAGAGGGCCCTACGACTGTCATGTAGAATGGAAAGTAAGAGGTGGAATTTTGGCATTTCTTACATTCTTAACATCTCATACCTAAAATGTACATTTCAGAATTCTGTTGCTCGCTAGCAAGGCTGCATGTTCTAGTTCCTAAAGGAAGCACGCATGCATCTGCAGCAAGCTCCAGTAGCAGGTGGAGATTTAAGGCTCAAGACAGATATATCATTTAAAAAATCACAGCAGGCTCTTCACACATGATGTGAGCTTGGCTTCCCGACTTGCACAGCGAACACACATTATATCAAGCTGAATGTAGCATCAGCCTCCAGTCTTGCCTCTCCTTTTAGCTTTAAGTATGTTCTCCATCATTTTTATTGCTCAAAGCACCCAATGTACATTTATCGGCTCGTACATTCAACCTTAGCCTTGTTTTCAAAAATGAAAGGAGGGAAACGTTTATAAACAGTCGCAAAAGTGGCGGTGCCTTGAGGATGTCGTCATGGGTACAAGCCAACTGGCACCCTTATTTATTTATTTTATTTTATTAAACTTACATACTGCCCTTCATCCGAGGGTCACAGGGTGGTTTGAAGCCACTTCTTGCTGCTAATTTCCACTGAAGTAGTCTCACTAAAGGCCAGGATGCAAGGATGACAGAGACTGCCTCTACAGCCCCCTGTTTGCTGTCAAAAGGTGTAGCTTATAGAAGTTCGGGGTAAGTTGTAGCAAGACTGGATCAATGTTACAGTTGTCCAACTGTGAGGGTGTCTCCACCTCCATCGTTCAGCCTAGACACTGAGGTCCAATTCCGAGGGCCTTCTGGCAGTTCTCTCATTGCGAGAAGTGAGGTTACAAGGAACCAGGCAGAGGGCCTTCTCAGTAGTGGCGCCCGCCTTGTGGAACACCCTCCCTGTGGATATCAAGGAGATAAAGAACTACGCAACTTTTAGAAGACGTCTGAAGGCAGCCCTGCATCAGGAAGTTTTTTTATGTTTTATGCTGTTTGTACAGTGGTACCTCGGGTTACATATGCTTCAGGTTACATGCGCTTCAGGTTACAGACTCCACTATCCCAGAAATAGTACCTCGGGTTAAGAACTTTGCTTCAGGATGAGAACAGAAATCGCACGGCGGGAGTGTGGCAGCAGCGGGAGGCCCCATTAGCTAAAGTGGTGCTTCAGGTTAAGAACAGTTTCAGGTTAAGAACAGACCTCCGAAATGAATTAAGTACATAACCAGAGGTACCACTGTATATCTGTTGAAAACTGCCCAGAGTGGCTGCAGCAACGCAGTTAGATGGGTGGGGTACAAATATAATACAGTGGTACCTCCAGTTGCGAATGGGATCCATTCTGGAGGTCCGGCCGGATCCCGAGGTTTCCACAACCCGAGGATCACTGTTCTGCATATGCGCACGGGGCAGTAGACCGCTTCTGCACATGTGCGCGCAGCGAAACCTGGTCTGATACTTCTGGGTCTGCCACTTTTGTAACGTGAAGTTTATGTAACCAGAGGCTTACGTAAGCCGAGGTGCTACTATAATCATAATAACAGCAGCAGCAGCAGCAGCAGCAACAACAACAACACTCACCTTTTCTCTGCTCTTTCCAGGCACGGCCCACTCTTTAAAGTTCTGTGTATGAGCATCATTCCCCCCTCCCCTCCCCGAGCTTTCTCTGTGGAAACCTGCTCTTTGAAGCTCAATTGGAGCAAATGGCAATTGACAGAAAACTGAATTAACATTTGCTCCGATTTAGCATTAAAGAGCGAGTTTTCCTGGAGCAAAAAAACAAGTGTGCTCAATCATGGAACTTTTAAGCATGGACCTGTGCCTGGAAAGAGCAGGGCAAAAGTTAAGTGTGGATAAGACCTTAGATCGGTGTTTCCCTAACTTGGGACTCCAGTTGTTTTTGGATTACAACGCCCATCATCCCTAGCTAGCAGGGCCAGCGGTCAGGGATGATGGGAACTGTAGTCCAAAAACAGCTGGAGACCCAAGTTTGGAAAACACTGCCTTAGACAGTTTTCAAAGGAGGATTCATGGAGGATAAGGCTCCAAGGCACGACCTAGATGACTTTAAAAGGGAGAGAGGGCTCTTGTGCTCAGATCCTGTTGTGGGTTTCACACAGGGATCTGGTTGGCCACGGGGACAACAGGATCCTGCACTAGATGGACCTGATCCAGCCACAGGGTTCCTCTTACATTCTAACTCTGTCTTCTCTCTTTTTCCAGAATGAGAGGGACGAGGCTCTCACCACCAACGTTTGGGTAGAACTGGTAAGAGAAGCAGCCCAAGCTTCACCTGTTATCTTTTATGTGTTGCAAATTATGGACCCTTTAACTCTGCCTTTCCTCCCCTGGAAGTCTTAAGAGCTAGTAACTTAATTTTTAGGGAGGTGGGGGGTGGGATACTGATAATTTTCCTAGCATCCTGGATTCTGGGTTTGGGAACTCTAGTTGTGCCTCTAGCTGAAATTTACCCTGGATTCAAATTTACCAGGAAGGAAGTCAGCCTCAAGACAGTAGCATGTTCCATTGCGAAATATCCACCAGGCCGGCCAGCGTGATTAACTGATTTCTTTGTTGGCAGAAATGGCATGATTACCGCCTGCAGTGGGATGCGGCTGATTACGACAACATCAAGTGTTTACGAATCCCCTCCACCATGGTGTGGCTGCCAGACATTGTCCTGGAGAACAAGTCAGTATCCTAAAGGGTTGTTCTCTTCCTCCTCTTCCTCCTCTTCCTCCTCTTCCTCCTCCAGCTCATCTGCCAGCTGGCTGCAGGTGAACTTGGGATTCCCCTTCTGTAGATAGGAGATGTGACCTAGCATGTCTCCTTGTAGCCAGGGAGCTTACTTGATCTTGGTGGGATCCTCCTGGGCTCCTTCCACAAATTAGTTCCCAGAGAAATTGCTGCGTTTGGGGGGAAAGAGTAGCCTTCACCCAGAAGGAGGCATTGTCTTTCTCTAGTTCAAAGAATCATAAAATTGAAAAGTTGGAAACGACCTCAGGAATCATCTAGTCCAACCACTGGCAATGCATGAATCTTTTGCCAAACATGGGGCTTGAACCCACAAACCTGAGATTAAGAGTGTCAGGCTCTACCGACTGAGCCCTCCCTCATGAACTAATTAGTAGGAAGAACAATTAAAACAGAGCTTACACGCAGCATTTAAGATTGCATTATATGAGCTAGCAATGTCCTTCCTCATAGAAGATCCTTTTAATAATATTGGTTGGGAACCTTCAGCCCTTGAGCGTATTTTAGGTCCCGAAAACATCTGGATTTGGCCCACAAGGGCTTTTGGGGCAAACTATGCCCACCTGTCTGTTACCAAGCAGATGCCATATGACATTAGACCAACCTAGCGGTTCGAAAGCATGTCAAAGTACAAGTAGATAAATAGGTACCATTCTGGCGGGAAGGTAAACAGCGTTTCCTTGTGCTGCTCTGGTTCACCAGAAGCGGCTTAGTCCTGCTGGCCACATGACCCAGAAGCTGTATGCCGGCTCCCTCGGCCAGTAAAGCGAGATGAGCACCGCAACCCCAGAGTTGGCCACGACTGGACCTAATGGCCAGGGGTCCCTTTACCTTTACCTTAAGCCCACCTGTCTGTTACCAGGCAGATGCCATACGACATTAGGTGCAGAGAGCTGTCACATCTTATCTAAGTATGCTGATCTTGGCACTAAGCACCACACAACTATGACTGGAGATAATCTTATCTCTGATCTTAGCGCTGTGGCACTTAGTGCTGAGATCAGAGACAACCCCATTCATTTGACTATAGACTGCCAAAAGGATCTTAAATAGTCTTAGAGAGCCAGGAAACAGAAAGGAATCACAAGGCTTTCTTGTAAAGGCCCCATAGCAGAGGGCAGAAGAGGCTCTTTTCCAAGATAAGAAGAGGGCTCCCCCCCCCCTATTTTCCTACTCTGTGGCAGCTCTTAGCTAGAAGGTGAGACTGCTCTCCTCTGAGACCAGCGCTAGGATAGGGAAGGAAAAAATATGCTGAGTTGCCTCCCCACAGCAGCACTGGGGCCGAAGAGGAACATCTCCTATCTCAGCGCTGGTACAGAGAAGATGAAAACACTGTTTTCTCACTCTTTAGCAATGAGTACAAGAGGAGCATCTCCTCCTATCTCAGCGCAGGTGCAGAGCAGAGGGGGGAAAGTGTTTCCTCGCTCCATAGCAGTGCTGGGGCAGGAGAGGAGAGTCTTCTATGTGTGCCTGCCTGCCTGCTTGAATGTACTTGTGTTGACCATGCCCACCTCTGCCAAGCATCCCTCTCAAGAGTGACCAACCTTCACTGCAGCCCTTGGGTCCCAAATGGCAGGAGAGCTCTGCTGCAAGAGGGTGGGGAAAGGGATCCTGGCTCTCCTGACCTCTTCCTGGAAGCAGTTGGATAGATGGCGGCTAACAGATTGAGGTTGAATCCTGACAAGACAGAAGTACTGTTTTTGGGAGACAGGAGGCGGGCAGATGTGGAGGATTCCCTGGTCCTGAATGGGGTAACTGTGCCCCTGAAGGACCAGGTGCGCAGCCTGGCAGCCATTTTGGACTCACAGCTGTCCATGGAGGCGCAGGTCAATTCTGTATCCAGGGCAGCTGTCTACCAACTCCACCTGGTACGCAGGCTGAGACCCTACCTGCCCGTGGACTGTCTCGCCAGAGTGGTGCATGCTCTGGTTATCTCCCGCTTGGACTACTGCAATGCTCTGTACGTGGGGCTACCTTTGAAGGTGAGCCAGAAACTGCAACTAATCCAGAAGGCGGCAGCTAGACTGGTGACTGGGAGCGGCCACCGAGACCATATAACACTGGTCTTGAAAGACCTACATTTGCTCCCAATACGTTTCCGAGCACAATTCAAAGTGTTGGTGCTGACCTTTAAAGCCCCAAACAGCCTTGGCCCAGTATACTTGAAGGAGCGTCTCCACCCCCATCGTTCAGTCCGGACACTGAGGTCCAGCTCCGAGGGCCTTCTGGTGGTTCACTCCCTACGAGATGTGGTTACAGGAAACCAGGCAGAGGCCCTTCTCAGTGGTGGTGCCCTCCCTGTAGAACGCCCTCCCACCAGATGTCAAAGAGAACAACAACTACCAGACTTTTAGAAGACATCTGAAGGCAGCCCTGTTTAGGGGAGCTTTTAATGTTTTATGAATTATTACAGTATTTTAATATATATTTTTGGAAACCGCCCAGAGTGGCTGGGGAAGCCCAGCCAGATGGGCGGGGTATAAATAATAAATTATTATTATTATATTATTATTCCTCCCCTTGTTCCCCTCAGCATCGACGGGGTGTTTGAGGTCGCGCTGTACGTCAACGTCCTGGTGTCCCCCGACGGCAGCATCTCCTGGCTCCCCCCGGCCATCTACCGCAGTGTCTGCCCCATTGTGGTCACTTTCTTCCCCTTCGACTGGCAAAACTGCTCCATGGTGTTCCAGTGAGTACTAGTTGGAGTCTCCTGCACCCGTGGCCGTTCCCTGCGTGATTTAGAGGGTGGAGGGGGGTGTCTCAGTGAGGGTGGAGAGGAAGGCAGTAGATGAAGGGGGACTTATCTTGCTCATTCATGTTCCCAGCCCCCCCACCAAAAGAAAATGCTACTTGTGTTGGAAATTTTAATGTCTGAAGGGGACTAATAATATATATTCATTTCTAACTGTGGGCACATTTTCTTTCTGCATTTATATCATATTTAAAATTAATTTTTCATATGCCAGCATATATTTGTTTGTGTTTACTTATTTAACGAAATGTATCTGTCGTTTGATTGTTAGCTCCCCACTTCTAAGCAGTTGCATAAATTCAAAGTATGCAGCCCTATACACTTGAATTACTTTAGAAAATACCTGTATACATTATAAAACATACACTGAAACAATATACATGATAATGAGAGGATAAACAGGTATTTTAAATAATCATTTTATCCGTTCGTACATTTACTTATATTAGCATGTAACCTGATATCTAAAGTTCCCTTTTTATATCTCACACAACCAGTTCCCAACAGTGTAACATTTCTCTAAAATTTTCATATTTCTTTAACATGAATAATATCAATTTAACAATTGCCACCTGCTCCCATAAAGCACTAACTAATTCCTCCTTATTCAGTTTACGGCCATCCTTCTAAGTCCTTCTTGCTAGAGCTGAAAATATCCAACACTTGAGTGAGGATATTCTTCTGTATCCTTTGATCATTCCCATTGCTCAAAAGGCATGAAGAGGGATCATTGGTCTACCTCAGTCCAAATATTTCATTTACAGCCGAAACCACAATATGCTGATAACATCTGGCCTTCCAATAACCCCACCAGATGTGAACCATGGTTACCTAGGACTCGGATCTGATGAACCTTGGTTAGCTGTATATTGTAGCGCAGGAAGGGATTCTGCTCTGGTCTAGAGGCCTCTGGAAGTGATTGGCTGAATGGCGCTGGTGTCATAGAAGGCCTGGCAGTAGTTCTCTGGCAGGAATCGTGGCTAAAGAATCCTTGACCAATGGCAATCCAACTTCTAGTTGAAAACACTCAGTGAAAGAGAGTCCCCCACTTTCCAAAGGAATCCATTCCACTGTTGAACAGCTCTTACCATCAGAAGGTTCCTCCTAGTGTTTAGTGGGAATCTCCTTTTTTGGAAATTGGTTCGGCTCCTACCCTCTGGAGCGGCAGGAAAAAACCTTACTTGATTTGGCCTTACTGGGTGATTTTATGTTTAAGGTCACAGACCTACAATGCCCGTGAAATCAACCTGCTGTTGACCGTCGAAGATGAGCAGACAATAGAATGGATCTTTATTGACCCCGAAGCTTTCACAGGTAACCCCACCTGCATGCAAGCCGAGGGGGACAACGGGTGGGAGGAGGTAATGATGCTGTCCAAATCCTTATAAGAACATCAAAAAACATAAGACTTGTCTTGCTGCATTGCGTTGACTAAATTCAGCCTACAGTTTCCTGCAGCAGTGAGTTCCATGCCTTCTCTGCAAACTCTCTTCTGCAAACTCTCCAAGGAAAAGGGACACCCTTCCCCTGTCGTTTGTTCCCATCATTTGGTATTTACAGTTAAATTGCCCCTTAACATGGAGGCTCCATTTAATAGTAACTGATAGATATATCCTCAGTGTCAAGTTATTTTTTAAGGCTTTCTAAGCAACCGTCCGTACCTGCAATGAATCCCACGAGTTGAATAAAGAGGAAGCACATCTTTTTTTTTCTGGTCCTGATCCTACTGCCTGCCAGCTTTGCTGGCAAACTCCCCTGATTTCTAATGTTAGAAAATGTTCAAGGGATAAATCTCTCTCTCCACCTGGCACCACTCTTTAGGAAATGACAGGGCTGCCTGGAATCCTGAGGGCATTTGGAGGATTTGGAAAACAAAAGCATTTTTGGCACAGATACCACAAAGGCGAAGCATCATTTAGATCGGGGTCAGCAAACTTTTTCAGCAGGGGGCCGGTCCACTGCCCCTCAGACCTTGTGGGGGGGCAGGACTATATTTCGAAGAAGAAAAATGAATGAATTCCTATGCCCCACAAATAACCCAGAGATGCATTTTAAATAAAAGCACACATTCTGCTCATGTAAAAACACACTGATTCCTGGACCGTCCGTGGGCCGGATTTAGATGGCGATTGGGCTGGATCCGGCCCCTGGGCCTTAGTTTGCCTACCCATGATTTAGATGCTCCCTGGCCCTGGTGGAGGCAGGGCAGTCAAGTTGTTCTGAGTGGGCGAAACGATTTAGCAGGGAAACTGTTTAACTATAAACCATAGAATCATGGAAGTGTAGAATTGGAAGAGAACCTGAGGGCCATCTAAGCTCTGTCCATGAGGTGTAAGTCAGGGCATTTCGTATAATCAATTTGACATACCAAACATGAGAAACAGATGGAATAAAGAACTGGAGGTTCCTATCTCACCCAATCAGTGGGACAATGTTTTTAACTTTGGTAGCTAATGTGTCGTTAGATTATGAATTATGTATTATACAACAAAAAGTAATATTTAGAATTCATTGGGCTCTACTACACTTGCACAGAAAGGGATGATCTACGACAACATGCTGCACATAATAAGGAAATGCTTCTTTGAAACATGCTTATGCAGTATCCAATGCTTGCAAATTTCTGGAGGAAAGTATTAAGATGTATAAATACTACTTTGGGAGATATTTTAAAATAATAGGATAATAATTATCCTAAGCCACATACCAACCATATGAGGTTTGACTGCGGGTCAACATAAATTAGGGCTGCCCTATGTCCGGGTTTTCCTGGACGTATCCAGGATTCATCTGCCGGAAATAGCGTCCAGGCAGAATTTCGAAAATCACTAAAAATGTCTGGGGAAACCCAAATAATAATAATAATAATTATTTATACCCCGCCCTCCCCAGCCAAGACTGGGCTCAGGGTGGCTAACAACCGGTAATAAAAACAAATTGATTAAAATACAATTTAAAAAACAAGATTAAAATACAACATTAAAACATTAAGATGCAGCCTCTTCACAGGAGGAGAAAGGAAAAAGAAAGAGTGTCAACCCACGTCAGAAGTGGGCAACTTTCCTTAAAAGGTCAACTACTTTTGTGCCCAGGTTCCCACTTTTAGAAATATGGCAACCCTAGCGTAAGTGGACTCTTCATGCCCTTATTTCTGCTAAAAGACATATCAAGACATTGGAAAGATAATACCATGGCCCCCTTTTTCCAGCTGCATTGCATTATGGGTAACATTCCAGGGGCCACAATCCAGTGGTGAATGGGGCCACGGGCGAATGGTGGGTGGAGCAATGCATGCAAATTTCCCCTTTCTAGAGTAGGGTAGTTCCTACACAAACTCACACATCCCTCTCCTTCCTCCATCCAGACTGGCAGGAGACATTATCAGAACTCAAGGGCACATTCTAGCCAGGCACAGATCTTTGGGGTGGGTGTGAGGCAGGGCTGAGGAGGAGGTGTGGCTAAGGAAGGGGGTGGGGAGAGTCCTGAGGGCTTGGGGGGCTGCACTTGGGGTCCCTCTTCAGCTTTGCACCTGGGAATCACACCTGTCACCTGTTTGCATCCCCCTCTTAATGGCTTCCAAGGTTTGCCTCACTTTGCTCTCTGGCCATGTGTCCCGCCCCCCCCCCCCCGACTGCTTCTGTGGGTTATTAATAAGAATCACTGCAGGAGAATGTTTGGCATTTGTCATCCCCCCCTCCTTTGTTCTGCTGGCTCCTCTCCTTCCTTCCCTCCCAGCCACTCCTAAAGCTAACAGTTACATTTCAGCCAATTGATCCAGGAACGCAGCCGTCGCCAGCAGCTGCCGCCGCCATTCTCCATCATGCTTTAATAGCATCTCGGAGGTGGAAAAGTTCCTCTTTGGAAGCGAGAGGCTTCCTTGTTTTTTCCTGATGGGGGACAAGCCAGTTATTTTGCACGGTTAAAAATCTATCTCTCCCGCAGACGGCGGGGGGAATAAACAAGAAAACACCAGCTTAATACTGTAACGTGTCACGCTTGGCTTCGTGTTGCAGCCCAGAGAGAGAGAAAAAGAGAGAGAGAGATAAATGTGGGCTTTTATATGGCAGCAGGGCCACTGGAGACCTTCGGGACCAAACACATGGCAGAATCAGCTCTCTCTCCATCAGATTCCAGCTTCTGGCAGAAGTCCCTCTGGGCTGCCAGGCAGTAAGCTGGCAGCTCCTGGCATCCTGGCCCAGATGATCGGATGAGTCTTGCTATTGTGGATATATCGTTCACACAGGGCTCTAAATCCTCACTCAGATCCTGGGCACTTTTCTCAGGGACTGTGTCTGTTCTCTCTCGCGCTCGCTCTCTCTCTCTCTCTCTCTCTCTCTCTCTCTCTCTCTCACACACACACACACACACACACACACACACACACACCAGGTAGGAAAGGGATTTCTCTCTGCACCTTTATTGTTTGCACTCGTTTCCCCAGCAGCTCGTTCGTCACCAGCAGCTCCCTTCCCCTAGGCTCCGTTCCTCGTCTCAACGTGGCAGCCTGGCTTCAGATCGAGGTGGCCGCCAGGACCAGACTTGGGGACCCCCAAAACAGCGGCAGCTGGTGCCCACTGGGAATAGTGGGGCAGTTGGCAGGGAGGTCAACAGTAGGGGGCGCCAGAGCTAAGGACAGGCAGAGCAATATAGACAGGTTTTGTCCCCTCCTCACCTTCCTCTCTCTTGATTTCTGCAAGGGCAACACTGAGACTGTGGAGAAGGGGGGAGCTGCTGGGTAAAGTGGGTGTGTCTGGGGCAAACTGAGGTTGGAGGGCTTTAGTGAAACAGGCACTACTGCCCACAAATGTTTGGAAGATGGGGAGCTCAAGGTGGTCCGGAGGCAATGGGCGATGCTTTCTTTTCAGGTGCTTTATTACCGTATTTTTCGCACCATAGGACGCAGTTTTTCCGTCTTAAAAACTAAGGGGAAATGTGTGTGCGTCCTATGGAGCGAATGCAGGCTCCCTGGCTTCAGCGATAGCAAGGCAAAGCCTCCGAAGCCTGCGCTCCGGAGGCTTCCCGTTGCTTCCGCTGAAGCCAGGAGAGTCTGCTCTTTGAGGCTGGCGGGGGGAAAGCAGCGCTTCCCCCATCGCCAGCCCCAGAGGATGGGGGGCAGCAGGAAGGCGCGCGACGCCTTCCCGCTGCTCTCCAACCCTCCTGTGGGCTTTTGCGGGAGATGGGGGAATTCCCCCACCTCCCGCAAAAGCAGGCAAAAGCTGTGCGCTCTTTAAAGGGGCTGCACGGCTTTGCTGGCTTTTCTAGGAGGTGGGGGGATTCCCCCACCTCGCAGAAAAGCCTGCAAGAGCCTCGCAGCCTTTACAGAGCGCGCAGCTCTTGGGGGCTTTTCCCCAAGGAGGGAGAAGGGACTGACTGGCCGAGTCAGTCCCTTCTCCCTCCTGCGGGCTTTTGCGGGAGATGGGGGAATTCCCCCACCTCCCGCAAAAGCAGGCAAAAGCCGTGCGCTCTTTAAAGGGGCTGCACGGCTTTGCTGGCTTTTCTAGGAGGTGGGGGGATTCCCCCACCTCGCAGAAAAGCCTGCAAGAGCCTCGCAGAAAAGCCTGCAAGAGCCTCGCAGCCTTTACAGAGCGCGCAGCTCTTGGGGGCTTTTCCCCAAGGAGGGAGAAGGGACTGACTGGCCGAGTCAGTCCCTTCTCCCTCCTGCGGACTTTTGCGGGAGATGGGGGAATTCCCCCACCTCCCGCAAAAGCAGGCAAAAGCTGTGCGCTCTTTAAAGGGGCTGCACGGCTTTGCTGGCTTTTCTAGGAGGTGGGGGGATTCCCCCACCTCGCAGAAAAGCCTGCAAGAGCCTCGCAGCCTTTACAGAGCGCGCAGCTCTTGGGGGCTTTTCCCCAAGGAGGGAGAAGGGACTGACTGGCCGAGTCAGTCCCTTCTCCCTCCTGCGGGCTTTTGCGGGAGATGGGGGAATTCCCCCACCTCCCGCAAAAGCAGGCAAAAGCTGTGCGCTCTTTAAAGGGGCTGCACGGCTTTGCTGGCTTTTCTAGGAGGTGGGGGGATTCCCCCACCTCGCAGAAAAGCCTGCAAGAGCCTCGCAGCCTTTACAGAGCGCGCAGCTCTTGGGGGCTTTTCCCCAAGGAGGGAGAAGGGACTGACTGGCCGAGTCAGTCCCTTCTCCCTCCTGCGGGCTTTTGCGGGAGATGGGGGAATTCCCCCACCTCCCGCAAAAGCAGGCAAAAGCCGTGCGCTCTTTAAAGGGGCTGCACGGCTTTGCTGGCTTTTCTAGGAGGTGGGGGGATTCCCCCACCTCGCAGAAAAGCCTGCAAGAGCCTCGCAGCCTTTACAGAGCGCGCAGCTCTTGGGGGCTTTTCCCCAAGGAGGGAGAAGGGACTGACTGGCCGAGTCAGTCCCTTCTCCCTCCTGCGGGCTTTTGCGGGAGATGGGGGAATTCCCCCACCTCCCGCAAAAGCAGGCAAAAGCCGTGCGCTCTTTAAAGGGGCTGCACGGCTTTGCTGGCTTTTCTAGGAGGTGGGGGGATTCCCCCACCTCGCAGAAAAGCCTGCAAGAGCCTCGCAGCCTTTACAGAGCGCGCAGCTCTTGGGGGCTTTTCCCCAAGGAGGGAGAAGGGACTGACTGGCCGAGTCAGTCCCTTCTCCCTCCTGCGGACTTTTGCGGGAGATGGGGGAATTCCGCCACCTCCCGCAAAAGCAGGGAGAAGGTCTTGGAGTAGCGCACAGGCTGCGTGCAGCCTGTCCACTGCTCCCAGAGCTGGGGGGGGGGGGAATCATATTTTTTCCTTGATTTCCCCCCCTGAAAACTAGGTGCGTCCTATGGTCCGGTGCGTCCAATCGTGCGAAAAATACGGTAGTTGGGCAAAGGGAACATTTCTCATCAAAGAATTATTTGATAGGCTTTTGAGATCTCCTGTTGGAGACTATCTCCGCTGGAGAATATTCTGTAGAATAGCCAATCCAGTTTTGCAAAGCCAGAATTTTGGGTGCTGCTGTGACTCAGAATTAATATCATTTACTGTTATTTCTGTATTGTTGAAGGAGGGCTTGAAACTTGGCGTGCATGTGTTTGTTTTAAAAGGTTGGGGTGCGAGAATTCATGGTGATGCCAAAAATAGGGAATTACTGAAAAGTGGGAGGGGGAGAGCTCTGAGCTGCTGGTCTCAGAAGCTCCATAGTTAATGTGACCGATACTTGTGTGTATATTTGCTCCTACCCACATGACGCTGCCTTCTCCCGACAGAGAATGGGGAATGGGCAATCAAGCACCGGCCAGCCAAGAAGGTTGTGAACGCTCACCACTTCACGCCAGATGACATAGGGTACCAGCAGATCATCTTCTTCCTCATCATCCAGAGGAAGCCACTCTTCTACATCATCAACATCATCATCCCTTGCGTGCTCATTTCCTCGGTTGCTGTGCTGGTGTACTTCCTCCCAGCGAAAGGTCAGCACCAAAAGTATCATGGTGGACTCAGCTATACAGCTTCAAATAAGTGTGTTGTAAAGTGCAATATACAAATGTGCCACCAGATGGCGACAGTGAGCTATGGCAAATTCAATGTATTTTTCAAAACTTTTTTTTTAATTTTTAAAAAAATGCATTTTCACAGCATTTTTTAATATGCTTGTGGATTCCATCTGTGGTGCTTTGGTTGGCCTGGGTTAGGTCCTGTAGTCTGTGCCCCCCCAGGTGTTGATGGATGATGGGAACTGTAGTCTGGAAAGCCCAGCTTCCCCCACCCTGGGCTAATGATTCAGCACTCTGGACAGCTCCCAGACTTTGCTTCACAGGGAGGCAAGGAACCAGGTTGGTCAAGAGGAAGTGGAAATTGGTGGGTCTTCCGATGCGGCTGAACTCCAACTCCCATCAGTCCCAGCCAGCACAGTCAGTGGTCAAGGATGATGGGAATTGTAGTCCTGCAATAGCAGAAGACCATCCAGGACAGGGGGAATTAAGTGTGTGCCTGCTGGTTTTTGCAGCAGGCATGTGTTTAGCATGACACGGGTTACGATCGCCTCCAAATTTGCACTATCGAAAGCCCTCTCACGATTTCCAGGCCTATTTATTCATTTCATCAGATATCTAAGTTGCCCCTTCATCCAAACAGACTGCAGGCAGGTGTAAATTAGTACACACAGGGTAACCTCTTTATGCTTGGGTCTTTGGCTCCTGCGGTGTCCGTTTTCAGGCCCCCCCCTGCTTTCTGTGACTGCATTTTTCTCAAGCTTCTAGTAAGAACCACCTCCACCTGACGATAAAATATAAAACCCGCATAAAAAGCGAAGTGCAGAAATGGAACATAAAGCATGAAACAGATCGTAAAACAGTATCAAAATCCTAAAACCATCAGGAATTAAAAACTGCAGGAATAAAATTTGGGAAGGCTTAGGAGAAAAGAAGCGTTTCAAAAACTGGTATAACAACAGCAAAGTGATGACATAAGAAAAGCCTCCTGGATCAGGCCAATGGTCCATCTAGTCCAAAGTCCTGCTTTCTCAATCCCATGTATAATTTTATAAACTTCTATCATGTCTCCAGGGATGCAGGTGGTGCTGTGGGTTAAACCACAGAGCCTAGGGCTTGCCGATCAGAAGGTCGGCGGTTCGAATCCCCGTGACGGGGGGAGCTCCCGTTGCTAAGTCCCTGCTCCTGCCAATCTAACAGTTGGAAAGCACGTCAAAGTGCAAGTAGAAAAATAGGTACCACTCTGGCAGGAAGGTAAACGGCGTTTCCGTGCACTGCTCTGGTTCACCAGAAGTGGCTTAGTCATGCTGGCCACATGACCTGGAAGCTGTACGCCGGCTCCCTCAGCCAATAAAGCGAGATGAGCGCCGCAACCCCAGAGTCGGCCACGACTGGACCTAATGGTCAGGGGTCCCTTTACCTTTACTACCATGTCTCCTCTAACTCAAAGGCCCCAATGCTGCAACCTTTCCTCTTAAGAGAGTCACTCCCTGAATCTACAGGACCCTGAATTCCTCAGCACGATGAGAGAGGAGGAAAAACTTTTCTCCATCGAAACAATGTACAACAGCACACAGTGGCAGGTTGAGAATCCCTCCCTCTAACTTGATAGATCAACTCCCTGCCTGCCTCACCACCTCTGTTTAGCAGAAAAGAGCTGAGAAAGCGCAGAGCAAAACTGGGTCCCATCTCAGCAGGAACACGGCCAAGAGGCACCCACGTGGCCTAGTGGCAACTGGTAGTTTGATAGATGTTGTTGTTTAGTCGTTTAGTCGTGTCCAACTCTTTGTGACCCCCTGGACCAGAGCACGCCAGGCACTCCTGTCTTCCACTGCCTCCCGCAGTTTGGTCAAACTCATGCTGCTAGCTTCGAGAACACTGTCCCACCATATCATCCTCTGTCGTCCCCTTCTCCTTGTGCCCTCCATCTTTCCCAACATCAGGGTCTTTTCCAGGGAGTCTTCTCTTCTCATGAGGTGGCCAAAGTATTGGAGCCTCAGCTTGATAGATAAAGCCCCTCATCCCCTAGCCTGCGATTAGGCAGTGGAAACATCTGCAGATGGGACTCACAGAGCATCCTGGTAGGAGAGAGTTGTTTTTAGGGTTCAGAAGACACAGGGTGGAAGGTGCTTTGCATTTTGAGGGCTCTGCCTCTCCCATCCCTCATCCTGGTGCCGTTTACTGGATATGAGGGCTGGGGCAGGGCAGAAGCAAGATTGGGAGCAGTGCTGGCACACAAGTGAGAGGGGCCTGATCCAGCAGCAGCCCTGATCTTCCTAACGTCTCCAGGACCAAAGCCTGGAATTGAGTTGGGGAGGTTCATAAGGAGCTCCTGGCTCATCAAGGTCAGCTTGGTGGGAGTCAGTCATGACGTAGTCCAGAGGCTGAGGTCTCTTTCCCCGATAGTCTGGGGTTTTGACTGCCGAGAACCAATCAGCGAAGCATCCCTTTCTTTTAACCCTGTGGCAGTAGAGAAAAAGTGGGGTTGGAAGGGGCATGGTCCTAAAGTTTAGAGAGGAACCCCTGGTACTGTTTCAGATGCAGTTAAGAACTTAATTCGTTCCGGAGGTCCATTCTTAACCTGAAACTGTTCTTAACCTGAGGTACCACTTTAGCTAATGGGGCCTCCCGCTTCCACTGCACCTCCACCGAACAATTTCTGTTCTCATCCTGAAGCAAAGTTCTTAACCCGAGGTACTGGTATTTCTGGGTTAGCGGAGTCTGTAACCTGAAGCGTCTGTAACTTGAGGAACCACTGTACTCCCTGCCAGTCAACTGCTGAGAGGAGGACAATAAGTGATACTTCTGCATGCCAGGCCTCTATTTTCAGAGCAACGAGGCATTCCTTGGGTGGACCTTCTTGGGACGGGGCGTGAGAGCAGATGATGAAGCAAGACAGAAGCCTTATTGCCCCTCTCTCTCTCTCTCTCTCTCTCTCTCTCTCTCTCTCTCTCTCTCGGCAGCTGGTGGTCAGAAGTGCACAGTTTCAATCAACGTCCTCCTGGCCCAGACCGTCTTCCTCTTCCTGATTGCGAAAAAGGTCCCCGAAACCTCGCAGGCGGTGCCGCTCATTGAAAAGTAAGCAAACGATGTTTAGGGAAGCTTTTAATGTTTGATGCATTACTGTATTTTAATATTTTGTTGGAAGCCGCCCAGAGTGGCTGGGGAAGCCTAGCCAGATGGGCAGGGTATAAATTATTATTATTATTATTATTATTATTATTATTATTATTATTATTATTATGTCCCATAGGTGGCCGTGATGGCCTCCAGCTTGGGTGGCTTTAAAGGAGAATTAGACAATTAAATAGTTTCCAAAAAGCCACTCCTTTCATTTTAGCAAAGATTCCCCTGGATTGGGGCATCAGCATGTTCCTGATGTTATTACACCAGTTCATCACTGAAGTGGCAACTCTTTGCGAAAGGGAGTTGCGGAATTTATCTTCCCAACACTTATTGCGCGACAGATAATGGATAAATCCATTTTGCCGGTGGGGAATGAGGGAGAGGTAGCAGCTTGTCCAAGGTCCCCTGAGAAGCCTGCGAGAGTGGCAGGACGTGAGCTCTAGATGTTGGATTTGATCTCTGGCTGTTGGCATGGCTTTATTTTATTATGGTGGAAGCTCTTGTGGGCTAGCAGCCACTTCATCAGATGTTATCCTGATAGATGCATGACTAAGGCTGCCAAGAAGGGGGGGGGCGGCTTCACAGAGCTGCTTGCTAAACCACTGGCTGAAGCACCTCCCTCCTCCATTAAACCTCACTGCAGCCACGTTTGATGGGGAGGGGACTTTGCAGAGTGCTCTGTGAAGTGCTTCTCCCCCTCCATTCAGCAACTCATAGGTACACATGGTTGGTGGTTAGGATAGAAGGGAAATTTGGTTCTGTTTGCATTTTTAGGTGAGCCTTCCTGATTTGCCGCCGCCCCCCAAGACACAATAAGTTAAACACAGCTGTCCTTCAGAATTCACAACTCTCTGAATTTTGTGGTGCATTTCTCTATAGACAAAAACTGGGTATACCAGCGGAAAGGGTGCCTACAAATGCATATATTAACAAATGCATTACAGTGGAACCTCAGTTTTCGAACGTCTCCATTGACGAATGTTTCAGAACCGAAACGCCATAAACCCAGAAATAAATGCTTCCATTTTCAAACGCGCCTCAGAAGTCGAACTTCCAAGGCGGCCTCCGTTTTCAGTTTCCTTGTTGTATTGAGGCTTTTGTATTCAGTTTCCAGTTTTCGAACATTTCGGAAGTCGAACAGTTTTCTGGAACAGATTATGTTCGAAAACCGAGGTTCCACTGTATATCTGGGTTTGGGGTTTTGGGGTTGTTTTTTTGTTTTTTGTGTTGTTGTTTTTTGCAAAACTGTGCCTACAAATGCATATTATTAGTGAATGCATCATATATGGGGAAAACGTAAAATTGCAAAAACATGGACAAATTTGCATACTGATATGTGTGCATTAAAGGGGAGGCATTTTCCAATTACTTAGAAGAACAAATTCTCAGACTGATGAAGAATATGAAATGGTTGATTTTGCCACTGCTTAGGTTAGGTGACCAGTGTGCCATTTTCCTTTTTCTCCCCAAAGGTACTTAACTTTCCTCTTGGTGGTTACTATTGCCATTGTTGTGAACGCTGTCATTGTGCTCAACGTTTCCCTGAGGACCCCCAACACTCACTCCATGTCTGCACGGGTCCGGGAGGTAGGTCCAGTGGATGCTGCCCAGAAGCTGTGGGCTGGCCCCCTGCTCACGTTAGACCTCCTTGAGCCCCAAGACTTGGCCTTTGCCTTACCTAGGAAACTGACTTATCCTGACTCAGACCACAGGTCCCTCTAGCTCAGCAATGACCACACTGACTGGCAACAGCTCTCTGGGGTTTTATGCAGGTGTCGTTCCCAGTCCTACCTGGAGATGCTGGGGATCGAACCTGGGACCTCCTGCACACAAGGCAAATCCTCTGCCACTGAGCTACGGCCCTGTCCCCTTCCTTCTTGAAGAGCCACAGCCCTAGCTCAAACCCCAGACCCTGCCCTTTCATGCAGCAACCCACTTAGAAACTGCCACAGACTGGCTGGGCATCAGGAGTGCCAGCTTGGCCCCGCGACCTCGGGTGCCCGGGGCCATGGGTGTCATGCAGTGTGGCTGGCCCTGGCATCGAAGTCTGTGGATGCCACAAACTCTCCATGGGGAATTTTTTGGGTGCTTGGGCACCCAGGGCCCCAGGGAGATGGCAGGGGAATGGGGGGAGGGACCAGAGTCTGGGGGGTGATGGTGGGATGGCAATGAGTGGTCAGGAGGAGGAGGTTGGGAGGAGGAGGTGTCAGAAGCTGAAGGGGTAGCAGGGCTTGATAAGCAAGGAGAGTCTGTGGGAGAGAGAAGTTCAGGAACAGAAGCAGGAGAGGAGGGAGGAAAAGAGGCAGAGATGAGTCAGGCTGGTGAAGAGTCTTGGGTGTCTCCCCCTCCTGCTGCAACAAGCACCCCTCCCTGCTTCTCTCCCAGAACCAGGAGAGGCATGAAAAGAGCAGAGGAGAAGTTGGAAGCACAGTCTCCGATTGCTTGGGAAAAGCCATGGCGAGGAGGGGACTTAGGCAGCTGAGGGGAGGAAGGGACCTTCAATCTGGAGAGCCAGTGTGGTGTAGTGGTTAAGAGTGGTGGACTCGTAATCTGGTGAACCAGGTTCGCGTCTCCGCTTCTCCACATGCAGCTGCTGGGTGACCTTGGGCCAGTCACACTTCTTTGAAGTCTCTCAGCCCCGCTCATCTCACAGAGTGTTTGTTGTAGGGGAGGAAGGGAAAGGAGAATGTTAGCCGCTTTGAGACTCCTTCGGGTAGTGATAAAGCGGGATATCAAATCCAAACTCTTCTTCTCTTCTTCTTCATCTCAGCAAGAACTTCATGGAGGCAAGACCTGCCAGACATGAGTTGCTGTGCTCCTTAGGCCTGACACTCCTGTGCCGATCCTGTTTTGTCTGATAAAGCGTTAACTCCAACTTGCTCTGTATGCTTTTCTGCCGGCTCACTCCTGTCAGAAACCCTCCTGGGTAGCCTCCCTATTTTCTTCCCCCATCTCCCAGGTGTTTCTGAGGCTGGTGCCACGCTACCTGGGCATGCACATGCGGCGTGTCGATGCACCCGTGGGGAATCGTCTCGTCCGCCGGCGGAGCTCTCTGGGGCTCATGGCGAAAGCGGACGAGTACATGCTGTGGAAGGCGCGGAGCGAGCTCCTCTTTGAGAGGCAGAGGGAGCGTGACGGGTTGGTGAAGATGCTCCTGGCGCAGATAGGCAAGTCTTGGGCCGACCGTGAACAGCAGAGGGTGGTCTGTTGTGGAAGAGAGCAGATGGGGGGATGTTTCTTTTTTTATAATAATTTTTATTCATTTTAAAACATATTATTTATCGTACATACCACAAAATTTCACATCTTATACAATCTTTTTGGACCTCTGATGATCCCCCATTTTATGATTTCTTCTGCACTTTTAAAATTTATATTGCCTTTAATTATCTTAACTAACATCTTCCTTTTTATCCAGTTATGCAATAATTCAAATTATTCACCTCACAAAACTTCTTGCAAACCTACAAATGTAATCTGATCATCACAATTGCTTTTCAAATAGTCCGTAATTTTACACCAATCTTCTGTGAATCTCTGGTCCTGCCGGTTTCGAATTCTTCCTGTTAATTTGTCTAATTCTGCGTAGTCCATCAATTTCATCCTCCAATCTTCTTTCGTCGGTAGTTCTTCTTGCTTCCATTTTTGTGCCAACAATATTCTTGCTGCCGTCATTGCATATAAAAACAGCTTACATTCTTTTCTATTTATATCATCTCCTACAATGCCCAGTAGAAATGCTTCTGGTTTCTTAATAAATGTATATTTCAACATTTTTTTCATCTCGTTATATATCATTTCCCAGAAGTTTTTCACCTTTTTACATTCCGGGGGGGGGGATGTTTCAGGTTCTTCCTCTTCCCCCACCCCTCAGCCTTCACAAGCTCAGAGCCCTCTTCGAGTTGGACTGGGGAGCCTGTGTTCTCTTTCCACAGGTGTCAATAGACTACAACTCCCATCATTCCCTGAGCAATGCCCTTGCTGGCCAGGGCTGATGGGAGTTGGAGTCCAACAACAAACTCTTGTTTTAGAGTCCCAGTGCTTTCTTTCTGGGGTACTCAGTGGGATACAGGACTAGCACATTTCCTCCCAAATGTGTGGCACTTACTGTAACAACTTCATGGTGAGGACCAGCACCCTTTTTCCTAAAAAGAAGAAGAAGGGGGGAAAAGCAGAGCACTGCTAGAGACTTATAGGGTTTCTTTTTCTTTTATTGATTTATAATAAAAGCAAGGAAGACTAAGCCACAAATTGCAAGAGCAGCGCAGGAGTATAGCGAAAAAGAACATAAGACTTACAGTATTTTTAAAAGTGCATTTTAGCACACAGCAGGCAGTGCTAATCCGCAAACAGCATCAGTCCCCTTTAAATCCCCAGAGCTGCTTCTGCCAGCTTGCTGTCCTCCTCTTCCTTGCTCTTTCTGGGCAGTTCTTCTGAGCTAGGCCACGCCCTGCAGGCAGATTGCCTCTTCATCATGTGGAGGAGACTTTAAAAATGCTATTAAAACCCATCCTTCTCTATTATTTCAACTGCAGTTTACTCATACCAGGGGCTGCCAGAAGACTTTAACATTTTTAAATCAGCATCTTAGTGTTATGCTGCCCTCTGTCTTTCCTGCATGCTCTTGGGTCAAATGTGGAAGCTGTTTGGGCCCCCAACTAGATCTCCCCTGTTCAGATTCTTCCTCTACAATCTTGACATTTCCCCATTCCCAGGAGGCAGCTTAGAGAACGGAAGTCCCCAGGAGATTTGCAACAGTCTGCGCCGTGCTGCTCCGGAGATCCAGGCCTGTGTCGATGCCTGCAACCACATTGCTAAGACTTTGGAAGAGAAGAAGGACTTTGACAGTGTAAGTTGGCATCTCAGGTGTTTAGGGACCTGTTCACACAGGCAGGTTCGTCTCTTGCTGACTGTGGCATCAAGCAATGTTTTGCATGTGTGAATGCGCAGTCATAGGAGAAGCTTGATTGATTGATTGATTGATTGATTTGTGCTCTGCCTTTCTCCCTGATATCATTTCAAACGTATTTTTAAGCAGAGGCAATTAACACATTGTTTAGGTATGCATTCATTCATTTAATTAATTATTTTATGTAACACTTAATGCCGAAACAGGTTTCTAAGTGGTTTACCATTATTGTTTATGGTTATTTATTAATTTATGTACTGCTTAATGCCAAAAAATAAGGCTTTTGAGTGGATTGCAAAGCATGAAATCCCAGCTACTCACACGTTGAAACATCCCTTGTTAAAATACGCCATAAAATAATTCTGCTACAATATTTAAATAAAAGCATAACCCATAATCGAAAAGGGCAATAAAACAATCCCATTAAAACAGCACGGCGATTGAAACGGGAGGCCTGGGTCGGGAGATCAAGGGACTGCCTGTGCGAACAGGTGCGATTTCAAAAGCCGTCGGCATGCCAATGCAGATGGCGCCTCTCGTATTTCATTCAGCTGCGAGCTTTCATCTTGTCTAACCAAAGCCCTCTTCAGGCATTTCTCTCCACACTTCTTCTTGTGCTCTTTAGTGCATCTCCGGGGTATGTGGTGCTCCCAGCGTTGCCCAACTGAGGAGGGCATATGCCAAGCAGGGATCTATGGGGTGTGGCAGGCCCTTAGGTAACCTGGTCCCTAGTCATTCTGGGCTTGTAAGTGCTAAGAGTAAAGCCTTGAATTGTGCCCAGTAACATATCAGCAGCCAGTAAAGTGGCTCCTTGGCAGGGGTGTTATCTTGGGACTGTGCAAGTCAACAACCCAGCTGCTAAAATCTGCACCAGCTGCAGCTTCCGAGCGAAACCTGACCGAATAATGAGCAGGCCTTCCGCTGCCCCAAATGGTGGGGAGAACCAGGAGACGAAGGGGTTGTGACTGCAGCATAAGTCAGAGGGCTGAAAGAATGAGCTAAGGAGGCAACCTCACCATCCCCAGGAAACCCATACCAGGGGGCCATGAATCAGTGGAGAAGGAACACCAAGACCCCAACGTCGTGCTTTGGAACTGATAGACGACTTACAAATCAGTGGGCAAGACAAGAACTTTATTGTCCCTAAAGAAAAAGAATGGAACAGACACAGGAAACTCCACCCAGGTACAACTAAATTCAGCGCCACCCAGTGACTAAGCTGTATAATGACACCATTCTTATTTTTATTAATTAAATTTCTATGCAGCCTTTCATCCGAGGATCACAGGGCGGCTCACAGTATAAAAACACAAAATCAGAAACCAAACAATACCGCCCCATACTGTCCACACACAAACACACTTTCTCCTCCAGGCAAAGACTGTGTTGAGAATCCTCCGTTGGGAATGTTCGCCATGAAATTGGTTGGGGAGAGAGGGGGTAACTGTTCCTCCTCACCCCTGGTTTCACCTCTTTCCACCACTACAACAGTCCCCTGGGTAATTTAATGCTAGTTTTAATTTCCCACAGGTCCCGTGGACAAGGGTGCTGCAGCGTCCTTTCCAGTAGGATTCTGAGAAGCTAAGCTTTGGCTGCCTGTGATTGGGGTGACAGGCAAAAGGGGACTGCTTTGTTTTAGCCCTGCTCTTGTCTGTCAGGCTTCAGAAAATATGATGATGATGATGATGATGAAGATGATGATGATGATGATGATAATTTTATTTATATCCCGCCCTCCCCAGCCAAAGCCGGGCTCAGAACAACTAACAACAGTAAAAATAACACCGTTTACATAAAATCACAATCAATTAATTGAAATACATTCTAAAATCAATTCATTCTAAAATCAATTCAGAACCAAATTAATAGCAACCATTGGTCTAGAGTTCTGTGAGGATTACCAAAGGAGGGGTTCAGGCTGTGCCTTGGCCAAAGGCCTGGTGGAACAGCTCTGTCTTGCAGGCCCTGTGGAAAGATGTCAAGTCCCGCAGGGCCCTAGTCTCTTGGGACAGAGCGTTCCACCAGATCGGGGCCACGGCCGAAAAAGCCCTGGCTCTGGTTGAGGCCAGCCTAACCTCCCTGTGGCCCAGGATCTCCAAGATGTTTTTATTTGAAGACCGTAAGGTCCTCCGTGGGACATTCCAGTAGAGGCGGTTCTGTAGGTATGAGGGTCCTATGGTGGGCAACCAAGAATTAGATAAACAAGAAGAGTTCTTACCAAGTCTTTTATTCAATAATCACAGAAAGAGGCTTTGAAAAGTGCCTCTCTTGCAGTAATGGCGTTGCTCTGAGTAAAGCTCCACACCTTCCGTCTCTCCTATTATACATCATCCCTACGGTGGCTGATCTGTGCCTTCTGCCTTTGAGCTTTCTCTTCTCCTACTCTCAATGCCCGCCGGGTCCTGGGAGAGGGGAAATCTGGTATGCTTTCTAAAGACACCGAGTCTGTCAGCTGTCTCTCCTCCTCCTCTCCCAATATTTCCCAGCTTCTCCCCTCTGCAGCCTCTGAGCTAAGACCGTCTGCAAACAACTGTTGTAAATCTATGCTGTCTCCCTCTTCTCTGGGAAGTGCCGGGGGGGGGGGGAGGTGGACTCCACCATTCCTTCTCAGTCCCGTCCCTCACACTGTCAGGCCCGAAGGACCCCTGTGGCAGCCTCCACGCCCTCTTCTGCTGGACAACTTGCACACCTCCGAGCCACCGAAAACAATTCTAACGTGCATCCTGTCTGGTGTCTTCTTCTTTGCAGGAGAATGAAGAGTGGATCTTGGTGGGCCGGGTCATTGACCGCGTCTGCTTCCTCTTCATGGCCTCCATCTTCATTTGTGGGACGCTGGGCGTCTTCCTGATGGCGCAGTTCAACCAGGCTCCCGCAGAGCCCTTCCCAGGGGACCCTAAGCTGTACCTCCCCTAGGAATGAGGTGTAGGGGTGGCGGCAGCAGTGGCAGCAGCAGCGGCAACCCCTCAACGGCCACGTGTCGGCGCCGTCTCTCGACTGAAACCTCTGTGCTTGGTGGACTTCTGTGCTGGGGGCCAATTATGTCCCATAGGAATGCAAAAAGACTCCATATCCATTGGTCCATCTATCTCAATATGGTCTACACTGGCAGGCAGCAGCTCTCCAGGGTTTCAGGCAGGAGTCTCCTCCAACCCCACCTTTGAAAGGGGATCTTCTGCATGCAAACCATGTTCTTTATCACTGAGCTCTGGCCCTCCCTCAAAGCCACAAAGCCTTCTTGTTTAAGTTTGTGTCTGCTAATGTGTTCTAGCAGGTGGGCACACCAGGACTGCCTTTTTGGGTGGCTTGCAGGGTTGCCCATCAGTGCCTTCCCAGGTTCCTCAGCCAACAGCTGAAGCTAAGAGAGGCAGACAGTAGCTGTTCCCTCCCTGTGAGACCGTTGGAAAAGCTGCAGCCTTAAAGGTAGTCCATTACCTGGGGCTCGTCCATTAATCAGATATTTGACTGCCTTCAGGCAGCACTTCATTCCTCTTCCCCAACATTTGTGTTGTTGTTTAGTCGTTTAGTCGTGTCCGACTCTTCGTGACCCCATGGACCAGAGCACGCCAGGCACCTCTGTCCTCCACTACCTCCCGCAGTTTGGTCAAACTCATGCTGGTAACCTCAAAAATGCTATCCAACCATCTCGTCCTCTGTCACCCCCTTCTCCTTGTGCCCTCCATCTTTCCCAGCATCAGTGTCTTCTCCAGGGAGTCTTCTCTTCTCATGAGGTGGCCAAAGTACTGGAGCCTCAGCTTCACGATCTGTCCTTCCAGTGAGCACTCAGGTCTGATTTCCTTAAGAATGGATGCATTTGATCTTCTTGCCGTCCATGGGACTCTCAAGAGTCTTCTCCAGCACCATAATTCAAAAGCATCAATTCTTTGGCGATCAGCCTTCCCAACATTTACTTACCTGATAATTTCTGTGTTTTATGTGCTCTTTCACACGACGTGAAAGCTACTTCTGGAAACCTAGCAAAAATTGCAGCCCTCATTTCCGTGTCCATTGCTTTTGGAAGCAACCAGTTCGCAACCCCTTTGTGGCTTTTTCTAAAAGCAACCAACATGGAAATGAATATCACAGGAGTTTTGCATTGTCATTTTTTCCGGACTTTGTGGAGGGAATTTGGGGAAGGGATCTGGCAGAGCATTCCCTCCTGCCGTTTGCATGAATGGATTGCACACATAAAGAGTGGCAACGTGTCCAATAGCAGGTGCAAACAGAATTGAGGCACAGTGGCACCAAATGTCCAAAGGCCGCAGTTCCACAAGGCAATGTGAAAGGAATGTGAGAAACTCATGCAGATGCCCAGTGGAATTGCCAGCAGGAAAATAAACAGGATGGTCAAACCCCACACACACACACACATCTGAAGGTGGCCTTTGTCTCCCAGCAAGGGCTGGGGCTGGGAAATAAAAGTAAGATAGTTGTTTATTGCCTTGACATCTGGTGGGAGGGTGTTCCACAGGGCAGGTGCCACTACCGAGAAGGCCCTCTGCCTGGTTCCCTGTAACCTCACTTCTTGCAGTGAGGGAACCACCAGGAGGCCCTCGGAGGTGGACCTCAGTGTCCAGGCTGAACGATGGGTGGGCTCCTTCAGGTATACTGGGCTGAGGCCGTTTAGGGCTTTCAAGGTCAGCACCAACACTTTGAATTGTGCTCGGAAACGTACTGGGGGCCATTGAAATCCTTTAGGACCGGTGTTATATGGTCTTGGCGGCCACTCCCAGTCACCAGTCTAGCTGCTGCATTCTGGATTAATTGCAGTTTTTGAGTGACCTTCAAAGGTAGCCCCATGTAGAGAGAATGGCAGTAGCCCAAGCGGGAGATAACCAGAGCATGCACCACTCTGGCGAGACTGCTGCGGGCAGGGAGGGTCTCAGCCTGCGTACCAGATGGAGCTGGTAAACAGCTGCCCTGGACACAGAATTAACCCGCGCCTCCATGTGAGTCCAAAATCAGTTGTATGTCCCTAGGTCCAGCTTTACTTCAAATGCTCTGTGTTTCTTTCTTGCCTGGGATGCGTCCTTAACCCGGATGTGATAAGAACACAAGGTGAGGCCTGCTATAGGAGCAAGGAGGGGCTGTGGTTCTTGGGCAGAGCACACGCTTGGACAGATCAAGGCCTGCAGCCATGGCTTCCTTGTCCCCTGCATAGCTGTTTGCAGAGGCAGGAGAGACAAATTGCATTGCTGCTTGCTCCTTCAGTCCCCAGCTCCTGTTCCTCTCCAGTCAATAGCGAAAGACGATTAGCCATCTCTCAAACCCTGCTCCAGTCCAATGAGAGGCCTCCTCCTTTTATCCCCCGCACCCTGCAGTTAACGCCACTTCCCTCGCTTGGGCCCAAAGCTTATTTTCCCCGTTGCTCTATCTCGCTCCTGCAGCCCCCGGCTGGGGCTCCTCAAACACGGCCATTTGGACAGGTTGGCGTTGCTGCTGTCAGAACAAGGCCCCGAGGCCAGAGCAGCTCTGTTTCCCGCTGCCCCCGTGCCGCTATATTGTCCTGGCCCCTCTCCAGGCCTTGTCAAAACAGCCGTCTCAGAGGCCCTCTCTGCGGATAACTCTTCCGAGGACCTGCCAAATCGCCTGCCTGCCGCTCCCCGGAGCTGTGGCAGGTGCAGCAGGCCAGCAGCGGTAATGACAGCGAGCGAACGAGAGGCAAAGAGAAGGGTTTAGATAAAGTCCCCGTCATTAATCCAGACTGATCCTGGGATTTGTTGCTCCCGCGTTCTTGAAAGGTGGGCTGCTGTCGTTTCCTGAGAGGGAAAGAGCGTTTAGAAACACACTCTCTCTCTCTCTCTCTCTCTCTCTCCAGTCCGCTTAAACTTTAACTGAGTTCCCTGCATTTGCAGGGGTCCCTACAATTCTATGATTCTATGAAACCACAGAATTCGCAGAGGGCAAGAAGGTGTTGTAGCCACGGGGGCTTCAGGACACAGACAATACAGCAGTGGCAACTGGTGACCACTGAGGCTGGTGGGGCGGCTAATGGTAGGCGGAGTCTGCTGGGGTAGGCGGAGCCCTAGATCTTAGGAGGAGGAGCCAACCAATCAAGGTCTTCCCTCCACCTTCCTTTTCAAAGACAGCAAGGGAAAGAAATTCAGATCACGTTTAAAGACACATCTATCGGTTTTGTTGCCAGTGTGGGAATAATAATAATAATAATAATAATAATAATAATAATAATAATAATAATTTATTTATATGCTGCCCATCTAACTGGGTGGCTTCCAGGAAATGAAAACATCAAACACTGTAAAGCACCAAACGTTAAAAACTTACCTGTACATTGTTATACAAAGCAATCTGAAATGCACACTAATTGAATTTTGCAGTGCTTACAAAGATGCATATTATTACGAAAGTTGCACATTCTGAATTTCTGCCGAGCGGTAGCAAAATTCCAGGGGGTTCCAGGCTCTCACCCAGGGTTGTGTTTCCGTTGGGAAGTTGAGGCACAGCAGAGGCTAGTGTCTTTAAGAAATATGGTTTATTTTACACACATTTACACCTAAAACCTTCAGTGCAGGGGGCACAGAACCTTACGCCCCATGAGTGTCTCTCATTGCTCCTCCCAGAGCTTCAGGAAGGTTGGGTCCAACGCAGTGGTCAGTCATGGGCCCCGGTCTCCCTGTGCAGCCTCTTCCAGCCAGCGCTGCATGGGCATCTCCCCAGAGCCTCCTTCTTCTTCCCAGAAACCATCATTATAATGTCATGAGAGAGGAAGAAAAGCATCTCTCCGTCCACTTTCTACACACCATGCATAAATTTATACACCTCTAATATGTCTCCTCTCACCTTTTCTCTAAATGGAAGAGCCCTAATTTTTGTAATCTTTCTTCACCCTTTCCTGCACTATTTTTTGAGGGACATCCTATGTTGTCAACATGGCTGGGAGCTAGACTAGAGGACCTCTGGGTTCCCCTTCCAACATGGTGGTTTTGGGGTTTGCTAAGGACTGGGACAAGATAAAGAGAATGGGGCCTAGGAAGCAGGGAGCAATAGAATGCGTGGAATATGTGAGGATTCAGCACCCCCACAAATAATACCTCCCCACCATCATAGACAAGCTGGAAGGTGTGTAGAGGAGGGCGACCAAGATGACCAAGGGTTTGAAAACCAAGCCTGATGAGGACCGGTTGAAGGAGTCGGTTATGTTTAGCCTGGAGAAGCTTATATGGGAGCCGTCTTCAAGTATCTCAAGGGCTGTCACATTGAAGATGGAGCAAGCTTGTTCTCTCCTGCTCGGGAGGGCAGGACTTGAACCAATGACTTCAAGTTACAAGAAAGGAGATTCCAATTAAACATTAGGAGCGTCTCCACCCCCATCGTTCTGCTTGGACACTGAGGTCCAGCACCGAGGGCCTTCTGGCGGTTCCCTCACTGTGAGAAGCCAACTTACTGGGAACCAGGCAGAGGGCCTTCTCGGTAGTGACACCCGCCCTGTGGAACGCCCTCCCACCAGATGTCAAAGAGAAGAACAACTACCAGACTTTTAGAAGACATCTGAAGGCGCCCTGTTTGGGGAACCTTTAATGTTTAATAGGTTGTTGTATTTTAATATTCTGTTGGAAGCCGCCCAGATGGGTGGGGTATAAATAATAAATTGTTGTTGTTGTTGTTGTAAGAACTTTCTGGCTCAAAGAACTGTCTGACAGTGGCATGGACTGCCTTGTAAGGTGGTGGACTCTCCTTCATTTGTGGTTTTTAAAGAGAGGTTGGGTGGCCACCTGCCAGGGAGGCTTTAGCTGAGACCCCTGCATTTCAGAGGGTTGGACTAGATGACCCCCAGGGTCCCTTCCAGCTCTACAATTCTATGATCTCCCTGCCGGGGCGGACTTTGGTAATCTTTCATAATACGGCGCCCGGTGCGAGGCCAAAATGTGGTGCCTCAAAACAGATCTTCTGAGTTATGGATCTTCCCGATTTTGAGTACCCTTGGCACACTAGCCTGTGTGGTGGAACTGCCCACACTGCCCAAATCCGGTGCTGTCCCTACCTCTGGAAAGTTTCCTTTTGCCGTTCACGCCCTCTGCTAGCTGACCTCCTCATCTGATGCATATGCCCTTCTGCGCTCCAGTGACGCCATTGTCCCCGCACAACAGGGCAGATCCGGGTAGTTGGCATGGGAACACTAGGAGGAATGGGGATGGAGATTAGAGGCTGGGTTTGCTGGAGGTGGCAGTCTCCGTCCTAGGCTGGGCCAACCGTCTGGGTTTCTGCGGTCTATGTTTCTTCTTTCCTTCTGCCTCCTCCTCCCTGGTCCGGGGCTGTTGCTTCCAGAGCCCCACATCTCCTCAAGATGTCTGTGATAAACTCCCAGCCTTCCCCCTTTGGACACCTGACACGGGAGAGACACATTGAATCCGTGGCCAAGCCACTGAAGTGGGACGATGCCCCAGAGCTCCTGGCTGGGGAGGCATCTCAAGGCTGCACCAGTGACGTCTTGCCTACTGGGTCAGATTCAACACGGCTTCAGAGGCACCCTCTGCAGGTAGTCAACACATGGGGCATCAAGGGGTACAACTGCAGCACAGAGGCTTGGATGTGCTATGAAACAGCGCCCTCCAGAACAAAGTGCCAGGGTGCCCTGGGTTTACCTCTGGTGCCACCAGCCTACGGAGGGGGTCAAGAAGGAGAGCTGGGTCCCTCGCGGCACCGAGAGGCCGGCCCTCATCCTGGACTGCAGTTACTGGCCGGGGCCCAAGAGCTCTGCATCACCTCCAAGGCTGAGCGCCACGGTAAGGACCCGTTCTGATGCCCAAGGAGACTCGAGCAGGGGGTGGGGGATTTGAAGCCCAGGGGGCGGGGCAAGTGGCCCTCCCAGCCACACTATCTGGCCCTCGGGTGTCTCTCCTGGTCACACACCTTCCCAAAGCCACACCCCTTACTGTCTCAGTGCTTTCAACTGGCTGAGATAGAATAATAGGGTAAAGCTAAAGGGTCATTGAAATGTAGTCTTGCTTGCTTGCTTGCCTGGGTGAAGATAGGTCTGTGTGTTTGTGTAGAAACCTATGGTTTGTGCATGGCTGGAATGTATCCTTCTGTACAAAGGCAAGAGTCACGCCCATTGCTCCACCTACTTTTGCCTCTGGCCCCGCCCACTGCAGGCATGTGGCCCCCAGAGAGGAAATATGGTCCTCAAATTGAAAAACTGAACCCTCGCCTAGAGTTAACGGTCACCGCCTGATAGGACGGCTTCCCTGTTTAAGCATTCCTTTATAGCATAGGGTTACTAGACGTCCCCAGTTCCCGGGGACAGTCCCCGGATTTGCAAATCTGCCCCTGGACAAATTCCGTCCCCGGAATGTCCCCAGATTTGCAACTCTGTCCCCGGAAACATGGAAGCAGCAGCCTCAGCAGCCCAGAGCCAGCCTGGTAGCGCAGTTGGCTCTGGCTGGCTTCAGGAGCTGCTCGCTGCCGTGGCGCCTGCCATTGTTCCTGCACCACAGCAGCGAGCAGCTTCTGAAGCCAGCCAGAGCCAACTGCGCTAACAGGCTGGTCCCTCCTGGGCAACGGCCGCCAACTAGTGACTCCCTGTGTGTGCGGCGTGCCGTTGCCCAGTTTTTTTTAAAAAAAACTCTGCGCATTTATGTTTCACAGGGTGCGAAAGAAGGGCTTTGCACCCTTATACAATATGCATGCATGCCTGGGCCCAGGGTCTTTTGCCTCGCCATCCCCACTACTGACTCCCTGTTGCTACTCAGCTTAAAAAAAAAAAAAAGGCTCCCCAGATTCATTGAAAAAAATCTGGTAACCATATTATAGCAGGGATGCCAAAGGGAAATGACTAGGGCGGGGTGTTGTCTTCCTCTGTCGGCAATTGCTCTGGGGGTGATCCCACAAGTCAGAAGGACATTTGTCCTGCAAAGCCTAGGATGACCGGCTCCTTGACCCTGAAAATGACTGACTTCAGAGCCCCCAGAAAGCCTGGCAAGGACCCAGAACTGCTGGTTAATGTTTTCTAACGCATTGTGTGAGCATGAGAACGTGAGCAAGAACCTGGCTGTGGAATCAGGACAAAGGTCCATTTAGTCCGGTATTCTGGCCCAGTCTGGAGAACTGCTGCCAGTCAGTGTAGGAAGTACTGAGTTAGATGGACCAATGGTCTGTCTCAGCCTAAGGCGGCTTCCGGTGTCTTTGTGCCCCCTTCTTGCTGCAGGACTTGTCAGCAGCTCCCAAAGAAGAAGCTACATCATCAGAGGCGCAGCTGGCGAAAGGGGACTCCTGCTGTTGGCCACTGAAGGTTAAGTACAGCCACTGAATTTCTGGGAGTTCCCACATCAGAAAGAGACAGAGAGGAGGTTCAGCCCCCGGGCAAAGCAGCAGCAACAGCAGTAGTAAGAGTAATGATAACAGTGTAGAATCATTGAATTGTAGAGTTGGGAGCCCAAGGGTCATCTAGTCCAACCCCCCCTGCAATGCAGGAATCTCAGCCAGAGCATCCCTGACAGGTGGCCATCCAACCTCTGCTTAAAAACCTCCAAGGAAGGAAAACCCACCAGCTCTTGGGAGAGTCTGTTCCACTGTCGAACAGCTCTTACCGTCAGAAAGTTCTTCCTGAGTCTGAGTCGGAATCTTCTTCCTTGTAACTTGAAGCCATTTTCTTCAAGCAGGAGAAAACTTTAGTTGTAATAACAAATAATAATTTGCTTCAATCCTAGTATCATTCTGTTTATTGCCTGTGTCCATTTTGCAAGAGTTCATTCATAAATCCATTCCACCACCACCCCCCTTTCTGTATTAATCAGTGGTAATTTTTATAATGAAATATTTTTAGAATGTGTGATTATTTGACTGTTTGATTATTTGATTGTTGTTAGCCGCCCTGAGCCCGGCTTCGGCTGGGGAGGGCGGGATATAAATAAAATTTATTATTATTATTTATTTATTTATTTATTTATTTATTTATTTATTTTTTAAACAACCCTGCAAAAAATTATACTTAAATACCGGTAATGTTATGCCAAAATACAGACAACAACCACTACAGTTCTGGTATTCAATATTTTTATTGATTGTGTTAAAAACTGCAAACATAACAAAGAAGAGAAGAAAACAGAGAGAGAGAGAGAGAGAGAGAGAGAATGTAAACTATAAGCATCACAGCCCAGAAAGACATAAGTACAAAATTGCAGCGCAGGTCCAAATAAAGTATCTGTTCATACAAATATTCCCTTTACAAATAACAAAGATCTGTAAAAGTAAATAAGGAGATGAAATAGAATGGATAATTATAATTATATGCAAGAAAAGAGGGTAAAATATGGAATGGGGGGGGAGTCTGAGGGCTTTGTATAATCCCAGTATTATATATATGGAAAATGTTTGGAGTGTGTGGAAATAATGTTAACATAAAAAACTGCAAATAAAAAATTAAAGAAACAAAGAAACAAAGATATGTAAAAATATTCTCCTCCCATGAGTCCCATCATTACTGAGAATAAAGCATTGCTTTTTTCTGGGGGTGCACAGGGGTACGCATACCCCTAAACATCTTGTGAATCTTCGTACTTTGGTCCATTTACCGTATTTATTTTTCCTGATTTGAGCTATAAAATGGTGGTTTTCTTGAGTCAAAATGAGAGTACCCTGAAACATTTTTTTTTAAGCACTGGAATAAAGGTTCTGTAAAGTCTTAGGTGAGCCAGACGCTTGCAGGTAGGGGTGGCCCTGAGAGTTTGTGTGTCTCGATATCCATATAAGAAATCAGTAGAATTCTGGCAGCAGCAGCAGCAGCAGCAGCGGCAGAGCCATCAGCTGAAAAGGCAACCAGCCTCTCTTGCCCAACACATAGCAGTCCCTGCAGAACAGCACCCCCTTTGGGGCAGGAGGGGAATAGGTTCCATGCCTGAGCCGTGACCGTGCACCTCTCTCCTTCCCTCTAAGAATGCAACAACTGCTGCTTTCACCTGTGCGGCCCTGCCCGCCCCTGCCACCTTTGCCTCCAAGATGAGGAAGGCCACGTCGTCCTGTGGTTCTGCAGACCTTTCCGACTGGGCCTCGGCTGTCTCCGTTGCTGCCAGATGGAGGTGGTGGCTTTCACCGGCGATAACCAGCTTATCGGCACCGTGCGCCAGAGGTGTGTGTGCGTGTGTGTGTGTGTGTGTGCAGCCAGTTCAGACAAGGATGGCGGGAGGGTACAGAGGTGAGCGGTTCTCCATGCCATTGGAACATGCATGAGATGCCCAAATATTCTCGGCTTTTACATACCCCGAGCCTAACTTTTAAGGCAGCCCTGTTGCCTGCTAGGAAACATAATCCATCATAACCTGTACACTTCTTTGATGGGATCTGTCTGCCTACCAGTCCCTGGGATCTGTCTCTTGGTCACACTCGAATTCAGGACGGTGGGGAACGTTCTCCCACCATCCTTGATTGCTGTCCCATCTGGATCAGGGTGAGTCCAACAATATCTGGTGGTTCTGCTCTGATTTGAAAATGCGGGGCCGCCCTTGGGCCTGATCCGGAAGCTCCAGCTGGAGCAAAACTCTGCAGCTGGACTGTTGATGGGGACAAACCATTCCAGCACATTAACCCGGTGCTCAAAGGCTTCCACTGGCTGCCCGTACGCCAGCAGGCGAGATTCAAAGCCCTGGACAACTGAGTTCCTGGATACTTCCCGGACCGCCTGATCTCTTATGTTCTTTATTGATCTCTGAGGTTTACAGGTGATTCAATGTTAGGGGTCCCCCATGGCTCGGATAAGGAGATTTGCATTTGCTATTGTGGGTCCAGTTTTGTGGACTTCCCTTCCAGTTGATTTCTGAGAGGCAGGGGTGCTAACTTGAATAAAATATTGCAGGGGCCCAAATAAGCCCTGCCCTCAATCACAGGATGCAATGCATACGCACTATTTGAATGGGAATGCCCATCAGCTTTCTTGGGGTCCGGCCCCCTCAAATATTTTATTATGCCTCCACGACCCCTATGAGTTGACTCCTATGCTGACAAGACTCCTCCATTTTGAACTTCAGGCATCGCTGAAGACTATTTATTCCAGCAGGCTTTTGACGGAATTCTAATTTTAATCATTCTAACTCTTTTATTCCACAGTGGAACCTGGGTTTTCGAATGTAATGCATTCCGGAAGACCGTTCGACTTCCGAAACGTTCGAAAACCAAGGCACAATGGGCAGTCGGCAAAATCCATTGAGAAAATAGAAAAGCACGCAGCGGAAACTGTTTGACTTCTGAGGCACGTTTGAAAAGGGAAGCAATTACTTCGGGTATTTGGCGCTCGAAAACCGAAACGTTTGGCTTCCAAGATGCTTGAAAACTGAGGTTCCACTGTACTGGGTCTTAGAGACCACTGTAAATTAAGCAGGATATAAATTATCAAAATATACCAATGAAATGAAATGTCTTGGGGTGTGGCTATGGAACTGAAAGGGTGGACCTTGTAGACAAGGCGAATCTCAGTTCCCCAGGTCTGTGTTATCATCGACATTTGAACAAAGCTGTATGAACTGACCCCTGTTGGAAGTGGGTGGGCTTCCTCTGTCCTGTTGGCTTGGAGATTTATCCCAATCCCCACCCCACAGCTGCTTCCCTCTACTGTCTCTGTGCCTCCCCCAAGACTCACCCGCTGATGTGCTTAGGTGCGGCACCTTCTCCCATTTCCTGGAAGTCAGTGATGCCTGTGGTTTTGCCACCATGAAGATCTATGGCTCCTGCATTCCTAGACGGTGCTTCTCCGAACAGGAGTTCCAGGTAGGGAAAGAGGTCAAGGGGCCCATGACAGATGGGAAACAAGGCATCTCGGAAGGGGAAAGTAAGTTTTGCTTTGCCAGAGAGATCAACACTCCTTCCAGGGCGGACGGAAGGTGGCAGCCCAGGGATGGAAATAATAATAATAATAATAATAATAATAATAATAATAATAATAATAAGCACCACAGAAATTTACCATGGGCCACAGGGTGCAGCTGAACCAGGTTCCACAATAAAGGGTCCCATAATAAATTACACACACACACACACACACACACACACACACACACAATAATAAAATAGTAATAATAGAGATTAATTATATGTACGTGTAAAAACAAGATTCAGCCATGCTGAACTTTATAAAGTAATTGTAAAAGACAATATTGAGTATGCCTTTCCAAATGTAGACGTTTGCTTTCATACATTTTTTAACGTTAATGGTCACAAATTGCTCAGCTGAGCGTTCGTTTTCTTAGCTGAAGTATATTAAAAATCCTAACAGAACAGCTGTGCCACAAGGCAGGCTGGGTGCCTTATCTCTACTAAGCATAGAAACAGATGTGTGACATTAGGTTAGTTTTAAGGATCAGGTCAAAGAACTTCGCAATTACAAAAAGTAGGAGCGTTTTTTTCATGTACAAAGTATACAGACATAAACAATATCTTCCATCTTACGGCAGGTTTCGTTTCGTTTCAAAAAGTAGAAAATTATTATACAGTTTATTATGGTTCATATTTTGAATTTGATATATATGGGGGCGCCAGAATCCTTTCAGTGCTTATAAGGGTCTTAATCCGGCCCTGAGAAGGCCCTTCCACTCATCCAAGTCCCAGCGGTGCTGTTGGAAATAAGCCACCACATCAACCTTTGCCAACCCGGTGCCCGCCAGATGTTGTAGTCCAAAACATCTGGAGGGCACCAGGTTGGTGAAGGCTGCCTGAAAGCAAGGGCAGGGAACACTCCATTCACTCTCATTATCTTCCCAATGACACTTCATCATCACCACAGCTCCGCTGACTTGATGTGATCATTCACCCATGGATGACAGAGTGTCACTTCAATTCAATAGCCCTGTGATCTTGCCATGGGCTGTTGACGCCTTTCAAAGTTAGCTCCACACCCTTGACTTGCTCCTTCGATGAAAGCCCGGCTGGAGCACCCTTGTCTCAAGAAGGGAGAGCCCAGGCTGCTTGCTCACAATGACATCATTGTGGGGAGATGGTTTCCTGTAGGTCCGGCCCTACCGTTTGGCAAGGTCGGGCATCTGTCTCAGGCGGTACATAATGGGCAGTGGCACTGAGTTTTTGGAAGACAGAGCAGTCTTCCCAGAGCTTTGAAAGCTAGCCTGCTTCCATCAGGTGTGGAGGACTTTCTCCCACTACCGTTGCCGATGTGAGGGTCAGCAGCCATCTGAGGCATCTTGTTCTCTGCCTCAGGTAGCAAAGTGTCTTGGCTCCCAGCTCAGCGTGGCATTCAAGGAAAGCTTCTCCCATGTTGATCATTGAGCATGACCTTTGCTCCTCCTCTCTCCAGGTCCTCTCCTCCACTGACAGCGTAGTAGCCACTATTTGGAAGAAGTGGCCGGGATTCAAGGAGGAACGCAACATGGATCATGAGTCCTTTGGAGTGGACTTGGGTAGGAGAATTCCCGTCCTCTTTTGGGCAGAGCACAAAACATTGTGACCTGATTGCCAGCTGCGACATCTACTTGCTGTCTACCTATATTATGCTAATATTCTTAAAAAAATCAGAGTTCTTAGTTTAGCATTTGCAGAAGTGCTCAGGGTGCCTCTAAAATGTTGTTAGCATGCTAATGCGGTGAGGAGAGGGGAGAGAAGAAGGGTGAACACTTCTGATGCACAAACACGTATCACAGAAACAAAACACTGGAGGGAACTTTGTAGGGCAGAGATGGGGTAAAGGTAAAGGGACCCCTGACCATTAGGTCCAGTCACGGACGGCTCTGGGGTTGCGGCGCTTTACTGGCTGAGGGAGCCGGCGTACAGCTTCCGGGTCATGTGGCCAGCATGACTAAGCCGCTTCTGGCAAACCAGAGCAGCGCACGGAAACGCCGTTTACCTTCCTGCCGGAGCGGTACCTATTTATCTACTTGCACTTTGACATGCTTTCGAACTGCTAGGTGGGCAGGAGCAGGGACTGAGCAACGGGAGCTCACCCCGTCACGGGGATTCGAACCGCTGATCGGCAAGCCCTAGGCTCAGTGGTTTAACCCATAGCGCCACCCGCTGGGCATAATCAGGCAAGCCAGACCTCTCCATCTGGACCATGAGGCTGATTCAGGGAGGCTATGCCCACCTGCCCTACACGTGACACCTGGGGGGAGAAAAGTGAGGGTGGGCCTTGTTCAAATGGACTTTGTGGGTGCTGATGATTAGCTGTGCCTGCAAAGCCTCCTTGTGCAGAGGATTTTCCCACCTCTCCTCTGGCCCTGTGTCCCTCATGCAATCCCCAAATCAACGTCTTTGGGGGGGGGGACACCCCACAACAAATTTAGGGGGTGTCCTTAGGCAAGGCATTTTTGCATGCCTGTTTCCACTAACATATGTGTTTTAATGAATGCTTTACGTCTTTATACGCAATGCTTGGCTGGAGAATTCACTGCAAAATTCAGAGAAGTGCAAATGGCGGTGTTTCAGTCGGCATATTGATTCAGAAAGTTTTCACCTGTCGGATTCCCTCCCCTCTACATAGAAGTAAACCCCTTATTCAGTGGAGCTCAGTAGCAAGCAAGTGGGCAGTTTATGCCTGCACCAGCTCCCCAGAGAGAACCCCCACATTCTGAGGTGCCCAGCCAATAGAGCATGAGACTCTTATTCTCAGGGTTGTGGGTTCGAGCCCCAGGTTAGGCAAAAGATTCTTGCATTGCAGGAGGTTGGACTAGATGACCCTCGGGGTCCCTTCCAACTCTACAGTTTCTATGATCCAGCCACCTCACAGTTTTCTGCCTCTGCGACAGATTTCTCCTGTTATCCAAGCAGCAAAACTGACTCCAGCAACTTCCTCTAGCCCAGCTCTTAGCTTTGAAGGATGTTGCCTTTCTCGGACTCTGATGGGTATTCCATTCCAATAGCAGGAGAGACATTCCCAGCTCTTATCCGTCAATCCTTTGATGCATGTCCACTCGCTCTTTGTCATCCAAATGCCTTTTGCTGGGCTTTGCTGTGTTCTTCATTTATGCTGCAGCACTCAGAAGCCAGCTTCGCGGAGCTCAGGGACACTTACTCCTCTTGGGCAAAGGACTGGAGAAATTCAATTTCGCTTGTGCTTGTAAGGTCCTAATTCGCACTTCCAGAAACAACACACAAGCTTCAACAACAAAACAGGGCTGTCTTTCGACATGCACACTTGTCTGAATTTCACAATGAGTTCCTCTGGCCAAGTAATGCGTACCAAGACGCATAGGGTGTGCACAGAATGCATACATTGGTGAAGATAACATTTAAAATGTGCTATATTGGGAGAAATGGCTATGCAGAATGTATATATTGGGGGAAATTGCATAGGAACGTATATACATTAGGAGAGTTTTGCTGGTGGGGTTTAATGAGGATTTTAAAAAATAATGGAGACTGATTTGGAAATTTGGCAAATGTAACTTAAGACTGGGGAACTGAGAAACTGAGAACCGGCCTTCACTAGATAGGATTTGGCTGCAGGCTTTAACCTCCAAGGGAGAAAGTCGTCTGAGCTCTAGGTGATTTCCTTATGGGGAAAAAACATGCACAGGAGTGACTGTGAAAGTGGCAGAAGAGAGCTCTGAATTTCTGCTAGACCGGGGGAAGGTGTGCAACTCTTGGAAAATGTAAAGGTAAAGGGTAAAGGGACCCCTGACCATTAGATCCAGTCGCAGATGACTCTGGGGTTGCGGCGCTCATCTCGCTTTATTGGCCGAGGGAGCCGGCGTACAGCTTCCAGGTCATGTGGCCAGCATGACTAAGCCGCTTCTGGCGAACCAGAGCAGCGCACGGAAACGCCATTTACCTTCCCGCCGGAGCGGTACCTATTTATCTACTTGCACTTTGACGTGCTTTCGAACTGCTAGGTTGGCAGGAGCAGGGACCGAGCAACGGGGGCTCACCCTGTCGCGGGGATTCGAACCACCGACCTTCTGATCGGCAAGTCCTAGGCTCTGTGGTTTAACCCACAGCGCCTTAGAACCCACCATATTGTCAGTCAGTATGGAAATGGGAACGCTTGATTCCTAGCCTTGCACTGATAAAAAGGAGTTGAGTAGGTGGGAACGGCATCTCTTGAACCCAACAAAACACAAATGTTGGAAGTTGGAAGAGAGGTTTCTCTTCCCAGTGCTTAGAACCGACCCATTCCACAACACAGCGAGACCAATTTCACACTTTGAAAACATTAGATCTAGCTCAATGCAGGCTCCCTCTTCAGAAGAAAGGCTCTTTGTGCATGCTCAGAGATAACTTCTACCTTTAACTTCACCCCACTCTTGAAAAAGATCCCGCTTCTCAGGGGGCAGGCCATCTGCGCATGGTCAAAGCTATTGGAAAACAAAAGTTGGCCTTAGCAACCCCATCCCAGGAGTGAGCAGGGAAGTATCCTTGGTGTGGCAATATTCTGTCCTCTTGTGAATAATACCCAGTTCTCTTTCCGGCAGTTGCAGCAGACCTGAGCAATGAGGAGAGGGCTTTGCTCCTGGCTGCAGCATTCCTGCTGGTAAGTGGTGAAGATGCGGATCGTTGCCACTGTGTGTCCTCGGTGAGTCAGTATCCCAGCAAGGCAAAAACACTCGGGGGGGGCAAAGCAGAGTCAGTGAGGAGTGTGGCCCCCCCCCCGAGACTTCTGAGAGCCAGGTGGAGAAGACTAGATGGCAGCATCTAGAGACCCTGGGACTGAGGTTCTCTAGTCTGGATTCAACAGTGTTATGATACTAGCTCTTTCCCCAAATTTATTCCTTTAAACCCCTTTCCTAACAACAGGGAAGAAACTCCTGCATCGTCAGCCAAATATTGGCTATGGGTATGTATCTTCCCTGACCCATCCTGCATAACAGGCTCATAGCGCCCTCTGCTGGCTGCCTTTTGCAGCCACAGATGGACAATGAGAGAGTCAAGAACAGCTTGGCACCTTTTTTGCACTGACTCGCTTTCCCTTTTCCCCTGAGGACTGGACCCAAGCTGGTCACTCTTCCCCAATGAAATGTGTATGCCCATTTATGTTACTCTAGCTCATGCCTCTTGGTTTCTGACGAAACAGAAGATTGCAACCTCCTTTTTGTGTTTTGTTTCCCAGAACTTCATGTTCTTTGAAGTGAGCTGACGGGCGGCGCTAAGAGAAGACGGAAAGGAACTTTTGTGGCTCAACCCCGTTCTGCACCCAGACTACTCCCAATTGTGACGTCTTGCCATGGAGAAGCTCCCACAGTGCCTCCGACTAAGAAGGGGGTGCGAACTTTGTACTGAAATGCCTGCACCTTTCACAGCTGCCTGGGATCCAGGCATCCAACAGGAGACGCTACAAGAGGAAGCCTCACCTACTAAAGGTCTGTGTGTCAGGCAGTTGTGAAAGGCCCAAGAGCCAGTGCAGAGAGAAAAAAGTTGGCAGCCCTGTCACAGAGGCACCCTGTTTCACTTTGGGGCGAGGACATTCGTCCCCCCACCTTCTCCTTATGCAGAGGATGGCCACGGAATTATAGAATTGTCAAGTTGGAAGGGAACCCAAGGGTCATCTAGTCCAACCCCCCTGCAGCGTGGGAATCTTTTGCCCAAGGTGGGGCTTGAACCCACAACCCTGACATTTAGAGGCCTGTGCATCCCAGAAGGTGATCTGCAATTCTTTAGCTGCAATTCCTGCTTTGCGGTGGGCTGGAATAAATGGCCCTTGGACCCCTTTCAATTCTGCAATTCTATGACTTGATGCCAGTGGAGGCTGCTGGTTCATGAAAGAGAATGGGGCAGTGCCCAATGAACCTGTTTGCCCTCACTCGGCCCCAACTCCCCGTTTACCTTGCTATTCAACCAGTCCAGGGAGTGGGGGCACTGCCTTTCTTCCCGTCTCAGAATTGCCCTTGTAGAGTTCAGCAGGGAGGGAGAGAAGCAAGGGGACAAAACTGGAATGAGTTGGCTCTGCCTGTTCTTGCCTTTGGCGCCACCTGCTGTTGAGCTCCCTGCCATCCATCCTACTAGCCTCAATGGGCAGCATGAGCTGCCATTGCATTCGGCTCCTTGGCATTTCGAGCATGAAAACAAGATTCCTCGCAGAGCCCAGGAAAGGTGGATCAAGAGCCATGAGGCCAGAATTCAGCAATTTGCAGTCCCCGTGTTCTCAGGCTTACTGAACTTCCTTCTGGAGCTCCTTAGAAGCCAGTTTGCAATATAAATGGCCTATAAGTTGTAATTAAAATAATGTTTAGCATGGCATCTGCTATTTGAGGATAGTTGGGTGGCTTTTAAAAACTTTTTCACGGTAGCTTTTGTTGCGTAAAATAATTTGTGCTGGATACTTGCTTCAGTCTTCAGCTTCTAGTGGGAGTTTTGTAGTTTTGAAAGCTGCTTTATGTAACTTGTACATTGCCTAGAGAATCTTTATTAGGATGCGGCTAATAAATTTAAATGCACAGCATGTGAGGATTATGCTGCAAACCTTTTTGATGAAACTTGCTGATGAGTTTGTTTGGTGAAAGTGTCCACTCAGACAGAAAGTGATGCTTCCTCAAAGAACTGACTTTGCTCGTGGCAGTGTCAGCTCATAACCAAATCTGGGTGGCTAGGCAGCATCATGGCATAACCTCAGTGACATCACCAGGTAGCGAGATATGCTTTGCTGTGTGGTGTCATCATATAACCTCATTCGCCGCCTGACCTCCGACTGCCTGGAATTTCCCTTGACTAATCGAGGAAGATGATGTAGGAATAAGAAGTTTGTTTGTGGTAGCAGCACGGAGGTTAAAAACGGCAGTGAGCCTCCTCAAAAGAAAAATAATCGTATATTGGGATGATGATTACTAGTCCCCAATCCTCTGGGATGGGAGCCGATTGATCTATGCTGGTGAACAAGGCAGCAAGCACTGGGGCCCACCAATCAACATTGGCCTTAAGAAGCTCGGGTGAAATATTGTCTGCACCAGGAGCTTTGCTAGGTTTAAGAGACAAGGAGGTTAAAAAACGGCAGTGAGCCTCATCAAAGGAAAAATAAACATTCACAGAGTTTAGGATTTCGCCCCCAGCAAATGTTTTGGAAGTTAGCTACCTGCATGGGGGATGGCATGGAACTCAGGGCTGGCGTTAGAAGTGGGATTTTTAAAAGGTGCATTTGGTCCTTGGCTGCTGCTCTCTGAGGATACCGAGTGTTGAAAGTTATGCACTCTCCTGAGTTTTAGAGAGGGAGGCCCTTCCCTATCCCCAAGATGCAGCAACAGGAGGTGCCCAACTTGGGCCTGCTTGTCATCGAGACAGCCAAACTGCCTGGGCTGTACTGCTTCGGACTACCAGTGGGGACTTGCATGGCTGAATGCTCCTCCCATATAAAAATGACCCGGCACAAAGAAAGCTGAGATGTCAGGGGGAAGCTAGGCTAGAGCTCTTCTCTCCAACATCTAGGTTTACATTGTAATGGGCAGAGATGATGTTGTATGAACACGCGATTGTGTGAACCTGCACCAGCAGCCTGAAGTGGTACAGGCCGGGCAGAGGCTGCCCTCCCCAGTGACAACTGGGCCCAGGAGGACCTTCTGCATGCCAAACATGTGCTCTGCCATCAAGCTGCGCCTCCTCCCCAAAGTCGCCAGCCGACTGATCCATCACCAGGGGCCCATTTTCACTCCAGGGTGGCTTGCGTTCCAGCTTTGTTACAGATGGGAGGAACCACCACCAAACGTACTTCAGTGCTGCTTAAAAAATCAAAAGAAAGAGGCAGCAAATTATTAAAGCGGTTCTGAATGGAAACCAGAGGGTGAGCAGAGAGAGAGAGACACCTCTGAACCCCATATTGTCATGGTAGGCGCTGGAGGGAGTCTGCGTTTTCAGATTGAACAGCAGGCCTCGTCTCTTAAAGCGGAGCTCACGAGCAGACGAAGCAACAGCAACTTGTTTGGCACACAGCTGGGACCTCGAGCGAGACTAAATCCTTAAGTGCCATCATTTGCAGAACAATTAAGGCAACATGGTGGGCAGGAAGCGGCATCTGGCGGCTTAAGCTCCCCTTCCGTGGGTATTTTGCTGGCTTACAGCGCCCAAGTGCTATTAGGATGGAAATCAAATCCCACTCCTGTAACCAATATCGGAAGCGGCAGGGGTCGCGTGTTTATCTGAATAATAAATGTCGAAATGCGGCGGCTGTGCCGACTCACGATCCTGTAAGTAGCAGAAAAACCACAAGCCGCGTCTAGATGGGATGCGATGTGCGCCTAGGAATGCAGATTGCCCCGTGGGAAGAGAACAGGGGGGCCTGGGCCAGAGGAGGAACCGACCCTGATGGTCGGAGGCAGCAATGCGTCTGAACGCCATTTGCTGGAAGCCACAGGAGGGGAGAGGGCTCTTGCGTTCTCACGTCCCGCTTGCACGTTATCTGGCCGGCCCCTGCGAGAACAGGGTGCTGGATTGATCCAGCGGCCTCTTCTTAGGAAGGGCGAAATGGAAAGAGAGAGAAACACACCAGGACACCAAGATTCTAGGTCATGTCAACATTCAGAGGAGAGGAGGCCCCACACCATAGAAATAAAGAGAAAACAGTGCCCTCTTCTCTGCAAAGACAAAATGCACCTCTGCTAAAGGAGCTGCTAAACCACAGGCAGCCTCTCCAGCACTCCCTTCTGAAAATTCCTCTTTTTTTAAAGACCCCTCCCATAAATGTCCCCACTGTGAGGACTGTGGAGCTGTTCTCCGACACCCTAAAAAAAAAATGATTCCCATAGGTCCTGAGCTATGATAATGATGCCGTGTCTTTTTCTTGTGGTCTCTGAGGTCCGCCCCCCCCCCAAATATCCCCATTTATTGTGGTTTCACTATTTGTTGGAAGCTGCCAGAGCGGCTTCGCCCCACGGACACCGCTTTCCAGTAATAGCTCAGTGAGAGGTGTCATACGTAGCCCTGGTTTCCAGGCTAAAAAGGAAAACCCCAGAGGCAGAACCAGAAGAGGTGCTTGCTGATTGTCCCTGGTCTGTTTTCTTAATAACCCTTGAATTCTTGCTCCTGTTCTATTGCACTGCCATGGCCAAGAGACCTTAAACACCTGTCATGTTTGACTGATTTATTAGCTCAATTAACCTTGCAACTGGGGCAGCTTGAAGAGAACCTGCACAGCCCCCCCCCCCCCGAGTGTAAATGCGCGGTCATGCACACATGCACATTTAACCTGCTTAAAGCCCCAGCCCCAGCACCTGCCTGTGGTCTCCCAGAAGTCAAAGAGAGAGCTCAACTCCTCCCCTTAAGGTCTTCCAAGCAGGTCGCCCTCTCAGATACCTGTTAAGCAGACACGACGACAAGGAGGAGGGAGTAGAGGCCTAATCGTTTATTGGCAGAGGTGAAATGGGGGCACCTGCCAATCGCCGGACTGCCTCCGCCTCTGCAGCAGACATCCGGTTAATACTGGAAATCCCTGGGCAGGAAGAGCCACTTAGCAGGAGGACCCTCCACACATCGAAGAGAAACGAGGCGGTAGGGCACCCGGGCTCCGGTGTGGAATGCAAAGTACGGTCACCCACTGGGCTGGACCAAGATGCTTGGGTGCCGGAAGGTCAGTCTTTGGCACAGGGGTGAAAGCCATTGTGTGTCAAAATGCCCAGGCCATCCTGCGAGCCTCCTCAGCCAGCGGACACATGCACACAGAAAAACCCTCCTCTCCCCCTGCCCCCCTTTTCTGGGCCAGGCTGAGGAGGAGCTGAGTGCTGTATCCCCTCCTCCTTCTGCTCCTCACAGTGCGATCTTGGTATTTCGGAAGCTTGAGTTATCCCTGAAAGACAGAGGAGGGAAGGCGGTTAGCAAATGTATCCTGTCCAGGAAAAGCAGCTGCAGTTTGGTCTACGAAGCTCGGGGGCAATTCAGTAGTCAAACATGTTCAAGTTGTGTCGTCCCCCGTCCCCCGTCCCCGTCCCCCCGTCCCCCGATGCAGCAAAAACAAAAGAAGGTTGCTGAGTGAACAAGTACAGGCCACAGGTAGGCCCAGGAAATCCAATAATAATAATAATAATAAAGGCATCCTGAGACCCTGTCTATCACAAGGAACTGCATTGCTTGAGATATCCCCCAACTCTTCACTGATGGCAAGAGTGACTCCCAACAGAGCAGCTTGTGACCCGTAGTATCAGCAGAACTGCAGGTAGGTGGATCAAGGAAGAAAAATTGGATTCTGAACAGCCCTTCCTTCAATCTAATGGTTGGTGCTGTTAGCCACATGCATCCAATATGATTCAATTCCCTAACAAAGTGCACATTATCCTCCCAACTGCATTTCCAACACAACCCCACTCCCCCCGCAACCATTTCTGCTTCTGTTCAAAACGTTGCCCCCCAAACAGGCCATCGCTCCCCTAACAACAGTAAAGGGGGTGGCCTGTGTGTCTGAGAAAGGCGAGCCTAAGAATCTGATCTGGGAAGATGCAGCTCTGCTAGATCAGGGGAGGGAAAATGAGATGACCCAGGAGTGGAAGGGGAGCTAAAAGATCTCCCCACCAGCAGCCACGTAGGATGCCACAAAAAGCCTGGAATGGGCTTGGTAAGATGCTCAGGGAGCAAACTCCATTGGGCAAGCCGACCCAAACGGGGACAAGGGCGACTGGAGAAACCCACAGGGGGGAAATACAGGATTGGCTTGGCCTGCAAAACTATTGCAAGGCTGTCAAAAGCAAGGCAGTGTGAGAAGATATGGAGGACCTGGGACAAGAGGCAAGGGTAAATGCGCCAGGTCCTTCAGGAGCAACCTTGCACCATGCTTGATAAACAGGCCACACTGCAGAGTGGCGAGGAATGCACATCTCCTCCCCAGGAACCAGCGGGGCTCAGCCACTGTGCGTCAGGGCAGCAAGCTCACATCTGCCTGTGGAAGGAGACACAAATCTCCACCTCTTGTGTTTGTGCTTTGTGACACTTGGCTTAGACTGTGTAAAATGTTTGCAGGACTGGGGGGCCCTCGCTCTGCTCTACCTGCTGGCATCCACCCAACACAAGCAAGTGGGAGACGTACCTCTCAGCCTCACAAGGCCTCCCCCCTCTGGCACAGCGACCTTTGCAAACAGGCAAAGGGGCTGTCTGGAAGTGGGCAGCTAACACACAGCCATTAGAGAACCCGGTTTCCACTGTTGGCCTAGGCTCATAAAGAGCTGATATTACTGAGTGGAAGACTGACCACAGCAGATGCAGGGAACCTTTGGCCCTCCAGATGGTGCTCAACTACAACTCCCATCAGCCCCAGCAAGCATGGCCAATGGCCAGGGATGAAGGGAGTTGGGCAGGTTGCTTTTCATTCTTCTTCTTTAAATTTCCCCAGAACCCCCCCCCCCAAATTACATTATGAAAACTTGTGTTCTCGTACACGCAATACAACTTATAACAGTACACATCTCTCCTACACATCCTTATTAAGTGATCCACAAGCTATTTCAAACCTTTGGAACTGGTCTTTAGTTTTACTGGAGAACAAACTAAAGCTCC